CAATTTTTAAAATCAAATATTCTAACACAATACAACCCAAAGACATACTAATCTGATATTACATGCTATGATAATAAGAACTAAGCCTTTGTTTTCTATACTTAAACCATTTATCTTCCGTGAAGAGCAGGAAAGTTCACATATAGAACAATTACAGTGTAATTCATAACATTTGAGACAATAGTCTGGAATCTGGGCCAAGATGCCTCAGGCAGCATGGTTGGGCATTGCACGGCCATACAAAGTGTATGTGTTGTGTATTCAGAACCCAGGCTGCACTGAAGTTGTGTAATGTCAGAGTCACCTCAGACTGACAGCACATTTGGTTTTGATTTTTGTTGTTACTTGTTCAGAAACTTTTTATTGTTGCTAACATTTTTGCTGTCCACAAATTCAGTTGCACAGCCACATACAGGCCTGCTTTGCTCAAGGAAAGGTAAAAGAAACTTTAATACCTGAGTAGGATCGCTCAATTATTTTTCTTCTGCTGTTCCAGGGGAAGAAAGTGGCATGGGTGTAGATCCCTATACAAGAAGACTGTGGCAGAGCCTCCCAGCAGGTCATTGTCATCTCTGCGGTTTCCAAGACCCTGAGGTCTATGAATGATTTATTACCGTAGCCTGGCCATCCCTGATACACGCATACTCTAATTGTATATGTAGATGAACCAGATTCAGTCCTTAATGGCTGCTCTATCTTTTGTAGAGTCATAAAGACCCAGGTGACCTACTATTCAAAGTTACAGCACATTAAACTGTTTCTTACATAGGTAAATCTAGCAATTAACTGTTTGTAAAAGGAACTGCTGATAGCCAAAGGGAATACATATAATTACAACAAGCAGAAAATGAGACAATTATATCAATTGGGGGTTACAGTAGCCTCCCCCCATTAGTGTCTCACTTTCTGTAGTTTAAATTACTCCATCTAAAAACATTAAGGGGAAATTTCCAGAAACAATTCATAGCTGTTAAACTGTACACCCTTCTGTGTAGAATAAAGAAATTTCACACCATCTGGTCTGTCTTGCCACAGACACAAATCATTCCTTTTTCTAGTTCATTCATGCCATACTCCACTCCACTTCCCTACCGGTTAGTCACTGAGCAGCCATCTTGGTTATCAGAGCAGTTGTCATGGTATCACAGTGCTTGTGTTCAAGCTACCCTCATTTTACTTAACAATAATCGAAAGTTTAAGAGTGGGGATGCAGGCAATTTGGACCTGTGGAAGAGAAGCTGTACTGTGTTCCCTTTAAGTAAAGACTTGAAGGTAAAAGCTCTAAAAATGTTAAAAGCAGCTTTTATAAAGAGACATTGATATGACCTTAGAATTAACAATCAAGTATTTTAAAGTGGAAACCAGGCATGTACCTATGATCCTATCTGGGGACCATTTGCATTGTTCCAGCCTAGGAGTTTAAGACCAAGCTGTGCAACATAGTGAGAATTTGTTTCAAAGCTCTGTGAGTCAGGGTTAGATAAGAATGCACTCGGGTTTTATTGTAAAAACAAGACATCAAGACTCAACTTTACAGAGCCAAAGACATACACTATCTTTCCAGACAATAATTCAGGAATAAACCTGGCCTAACTGTGCTGAAGTCCTGAATTGAGGTCTCACTTTTATCCCATCATAAGCTGACTTGGTTCACAGCCTCACAGCCTCCATCTAAAACTTGCTTCAAAATGCTTCTGGTGCCCCACTGACTTCCAACCTCATTGCTGTCTGATTCAGTCAATACATCAAATACTATTGCTGGAATACAGAAAGATTATCATTTCCTGACTAAAATCCTTTGAGTCTTCACAACAGTTTTTAGAAATAAAAACCAAACTTCTTAGCGTTACACTTATGATCCTTCTTGATTATTTTAAGCCTCCTGTCTCTCCTCAGGTCCTCTATTCAAGTCAGACAGACGTTACCATTCTCCAAGGATGCCCTATACCATCTTCCCTTTGAACCTCTGCCCTTCTGATTGATGCCTGTCAGACTTTTTACTGGTACTGGCTGCCTTGTGTGGGGAGCTATCAACTTAGCTGCCTCTCTTGACAATTTGGCTGCTTTGAAGACTAGATGCTTCAAGGAAGATACAAGTCCAGCTGCTAAGAACGCTGCAACTTCTGCTGTTGGCCACAGCTTCTGCTGCAGGAGCCTTTGTTCCAGTCACAGCTGCTTCAGCACCAGAAAAGTTTGCTTTAGCCATGAAAAGTCTCAGTGACATCCAGATGACTGATTTCCAAAAGAAGTTAGGGAAGTGTCAGAATGAAAAGGCAGCAATTTTGTAGGAGAAAAAGGGGGGTTTGATGCTGAGACATAATGCTTTTAAGGCATCCAAAGAGAATAGCAGTTGGAAAGGTAATTAGAAATGTAGGTCTGGAGTAATGGAAAGAACTGGTATTGGAAAAATAGATTGGGAAATTCTAGATACAGTCAACCCACATTATTTGCAAATTGCATAGCTGCAAATTTGCCTACTTAGTAGCAGTCCTTGCTCATCCCTAAGCACGCCTGTGCTTTTGCAGTCATTCACAGACATGCACAGAGTCACTGCATGAGCCTGTTCCAGGTAAGATCAAACAAGGTGATGCTGTGATCTCTTTTTCAGCTCTTACACTGTAAACAAGTATCCTTTTTGCAGTTTATTTAGTGCCACGATTCTCACATTTGCTGCTTTTCTTTTGGGTCTATTTAAGTCACCCAGGAGTGTAGTGCTGAAGTGTTGCCTTCTGTTCCTAAGCCGATGTGCCTTATGGAAAAAGCATGTCCTACAATAAGTTTCCTTAAGGAGTTCTAGTGCTGGTGGCTGTGAGCTCAATGCTAATGAAGCCACAGCATATATTATATAAGATATTTTCACACAGAAACAGATGGAAAACAAGTTTATGTACCTATCAGCTGATTAAAATGTAAACAGAAGCTTCAAAGATGTAACCTTGTATCTCTCTCAACAGCAATAATTCAGTATTCAATAGTTTAAGGTTCTTGGCAGCTTTATGGAATGCAGCTACTGTGAATAATGAGATACTTATGTACATGAAAGCTGTAGACATATATGATGTTGAAGAGTAAATACATGCACAGTGAGAGAGTAAGCATAAGATGAACCTGAGAGAAGACCACTATTTAGAGGGTGGTCAGAAAAAAAAAAATATTAAGGGATGGCCAAAAAGAATGGTCAGGAAGGTAGGAAGAGGTCACAGAGAAGTAACATGATGCAGTCTCGGGAAAGAGCTAGTCATGTGTGTCAGGAGCTACTGAACAGGTTCTCAGGAGACACAGGGATGCTTTAAAAAATGTACACTTTTGAGTACGATGCATCTGCATTTAAAACTTAGTTGGCCTTTCAATAGCTGAGTGGCTTAAGCAAATTCATCTTATTTCTCTGGTCCCCACTTCTATAACACAGAGACAATACCTAATCCAGAAGTTGTTGTAGGATACATACATGCCTTGTGTGATCTGTGAAAATAACCTACCCTAATTATGCTTTATTCTATTAATGTTTTTAAAAAAAAGATAAAATATTTTTTTGTTGTTGGGGTTTTTGTTTTGTTTTATTTTATGTCTTTTTTTTTTAAATATGGAACGCTTCACGAATTTGCGTGTCATCCTTGCGCAGGGGCCATGCTAATCTTCTCTGTATCGTTCCAATTTTAGTATATGTGCTGCCGAAGCGAGCACTATGTCTTTGTTTTTGAGACATGGTCTCCGTGTAGCTCCAGCTGGCCTGGAACTCACTATGTAGGCCAGGCTGGCCTCTATCTCATTGAGATCCACCTGCCTCTCCCTACCCAGTGCCAAGTTAAAGGTGTGCACCGCCATGCCTGACTCAGATAAAAACCTTTGGGGCTGGAAAGATTGCTCAGTGGTTAAGAGCACTGGCTACTCTTGCAAAGGATCCAAGTTTGGTTCCCAGTGCCCACACGGCAGCTAAGAACCATCTGTAATTCCAGTTCCAGGGGACCCAATGCCCTCTTCTGGCCTCTGTGGACAATTACATTCATGGAGGCAAAACTTGTTACACATTTAAAAAAAAAAAAAAAAGTCTTCTTCTCTGAACCTCAAGCTAGGAGACAGTAGGAATGAAACTGAGCTAAAATAGATGAACAGAAGGGTACACAAATTTTACCGAATACAATTTTACATGTACTTAGTGTCTTCATAGGAAAATGAAATGCAGTCATAGAAAAATAGCTAAGGTATGGATTAATTTTAAAAGGTCTGTTACAGATGTCTCTCAGTTTCAATTCCCCTTTCTGGTAAAGCCTGCTGTTTTTTAGTGCTTTGAAGTCCAAATAAACAACACACCAAGGCAGCACTCTGTGGGCTGGTAAAATCCAGCATGGGACACACAGGAGGCACCAACAGAATATTCTTCCTTCACGCACAGATTCCTCACATAACACTTCCTGAAAAGCTTATTTACAAATTTACTTTATTATCTGTTTACGTCTTCTTTTCTCGCTCTAAGTTGTGAGTTTCATGAGGCTCTGGACTATTTCTTTTTGCCTTGGCATACCTGGGGCACGTAAGCATCTGGGAAAAGACAAGGGTTAAATTAATCCCATCTAAGAGAAGATGGTTTAGGAGTCCAGTTTTCATTGGCAAAAAGCTTTAATCATGTTCGTCACCTTCCATTTCAATTCACGCTCTGAGGCTGACACCTTCCAGTCCTTGATAAGAGAAAATGAGAGATTCTACCGTGACGTAAAAGGTGAAGTCGTAACAGTTCAACTGATAAAACATTGCATCGTTGAGCTGAACGAACCTGCAAGTCAATGCGGCCTACAGTCTTGCAGAGTGAACAGCAGGGAGGACAGTAGACCTGCAGACATGGGAAGGGCTAGGGCACAGGGGCCAGAACCCTAGAGCAGGGAGGCTCGGACAGAGTGGAGCAGAGCACAACGCACCCGGCGAGGCGCGGCTCCGCCCCGTCCCGAGGGGTTCACCGTGTGGGTCCGCCCCTTCCCGCTGTTGCTAAGCAACCAACCCCGGAAGTCGCGGAAGGGGAGTCCGCGGCGGGCGCCGCTAGCGGGCGGAAGATGGCGGAGGGCGGCGGCGCGGGGCCGGACGAACAGGAGCGGCGGGCGTCGAGGTCGCGGCCCCCCAGCGCGCGGGACTTACAGGTGCGGAGGCCGGGAGCGTGGCGGCGGGCGGGCGTGGGCACGGGCAGAAGTCCTCGGCCCTCAGAGAAGATGCACCGAACAGCTGTTGGGTTAGAACCGCGTTTGGGGGCCCACTGTGGGATTCCCAGGTGGTGCTGCCCTCGGGAGGAACCTTTTGGAGAAAAGAGTTACTATGGCCGGTCGTGCATCAGCCATCACTTTAAAAAACTGTGTCCTGAGTTCTCCTGGATGCGCTTTCTGGGTTGATGTCTTAAACATAATGGTTCCCTTTTTTTAGTCAAGTAGCTTTTTCGTTTCTAAAGGGGAGTGCTAACGCAATCCATCATACAGCCGTCTTGTAAAAGGTAGTCTAAGAAGCAAAGCTCATAACGGAAATAAAACTTGGAAATGTTGTAAGACACTTGACATTAGTTAGCTAAACACGAATTACTAAATGCTGTTTTATCGAATGAAAACACCTTTTTGCTCCTTTTTAGGTCTTTTCTATATCATGAGATCGTTGATAAAAATCAAATAAACATCTGTAAAGACTTACAATTAAAAACAAATGAGCCTCAATTCACAAACCTTCGCAGAGCAGTTCTTTTTATAGCTGGTCTTCATTCTTTGAACAGATATATTTACCGCCTGTCAGTGTAACTTGCTGCCAAAGCCCTTGGGAGTGCAAAGCTAAATAGGATATCAAATCCATAATGGTGCTGGATCCACCTGACTCGCTGACAAAGCTATTGCTAGTTATTTTCTGTGTCTCAACCCTTTGAATAAATGCAGTCAGATCTCACTGCTGCTTGGAGTTTTCTCAGCCTGCTCTAGAGTCCAGGGAGCTGCCCCCATACAGGAATTCTATTTGGGCGAGGCGAGGGTGGATTCTTTTTAAGTAAACTCTACTAAATCAGCCCAAGAGATCTCCCTTTTAACCGTATTTAACCTTTGGAAGCCACACTTCCAAAGAAATAGTACAGACTACATTAAACACAATTTAAGATGAAGTATCACTAAGTCCCTAAAGTAAGTCATTAAATGAATTTGAAGAATGGAGAGATCAGTGTAAGGTGGGAGAGGAACTTGATAGGTACAGTGCCTGAAATAGATTCAGAGGAAGTAAACAGAATCAAGGAATAGGAAGCTATTAATTTACCTTGTCTTTTCTAGTACAGACCTACAAGTCAGCATGGGGTGTTGGGGAAAATGGATTAGTGGCCAGAATAACTTTGGTTTATTTCCATGTTGGTCCTTAGTCCTGTGAACTTAGGAGAAATGTCTTCTCTGATCCTTGGCCTCTTCTTTGTAAACTGTAGGTGATAGAGGTATAAGCATTAAATAACGTCTGATGAGGGTCTTTGCCTAATTCCTGTATTATCCTGGCTCAGTCCTGGCTCGACAAATGCATTGTGACTTTCAGTAACTAATCTGTTCTAATGTTGTTAAAATTAAAACCACATAGCCTAGTATGCTCACTAATTTAAATCCATTTCTTCTTATGTGACTAGTGAGAACTGCTTAATGACCACTTGATACTTAGCAAATTATTTGTAGACTTAATGCAGTGGCTTAATTAGTGTATAATTAGTAGTTTGAGGTATTCTGGTACATGTTGCTAATTACGAGAATACCTTTGTTTCCACCATAAATTGGAAGATAGGGATTTTTTTTCATTATTAATTTTATGGTAAGCAGGTCAATAGGAATATAACATTTATTAATCTATAACTCTGATCATATACAGAATTTAAATATTGATAATCTTTTCTTTAGAATTTAATTAGAATGTGAAAGACTTGCAAAAATCTTGAAAACAACAAAAATGATGTGTCAAGAAATGACACATGTATCAAAGGCTTAAGTGAATTGGATAATTGTATTCATAGCTAGTTTCTTGGATATTGATGATTATTTTGTTATTATGTGATCTACGCATGCTTATCTGAAGGGTAAACCACTTAGTACAGTTTTTAGTAGATCCTTCTTACTTTCTGACAGCTTGCCTTGAGTCTTGCAGAATGAGGAAAAAAGTATTGTACCATCAACTGTAGTAAGTTTATCTTAGCTGACATGCAGAATAGGGTCTGTCAGCTTCTAAAACAGGAAAAAGTACTTCGGGAACCACCAGAAGAAAGTTGCATAGTTGTCTCCCAAAGGGCTTCACTGTATTGTAGCCTTTACATTTAACAACTGCAGACTTGGAATCCCATTTGGACCTCAAACCAAGAGTAGATAATCATGGCTCCCCTCATCTCCGCAGATTAGGCAGTGTACATTAGGAAGGTTTGGGGTGGGAGTATCAATGATGCGGATAAAACCTCCACAGTATTTACTAGTATTTCTGAGGGATTCTAAGACCACTGTCTTTTGGTGTTCTTCAGTCTTCCTATGCACAGGGTCTACCAGTTGGTTAAAGCATTTAATTGTATGTTTCTATCCCAGTTTTCCTCCAGAATAGTGTCAAAATAAAAAGGTCGCTGATTTCTGTGCTTCCAACCAGGTTAGCATTTAGAGTGGGAAAGAGAGTTTCTGAAGCTGTTTCAGTGGTCGTAGTGTCCAGTCCTGTCATTCCACTGCTGCTCCCCTTGAAAGCAGCTCACTGTGAAGGCATACTAAAGCAGGTGTCAGCCCTTGAGCCAAAGTTTAATTCACTGTATGGAGAGGGGCTTGAGTGTATGCATTTCTTTTAATTTTTTATGTATTTATTTTTATTTTTATGTGTGTGAATGTATTCCCTGCATGTAAGTAAGTACGCCCATGTTGTTCTGTGTCTGCAGAGGTCAGAAGAGGGTGTCGGATCCCCTGGAACTAGAGTTCCAGACAGTGTATTTGTGAGTGAGCTCATGTCAGAAGATAGCACATGGTGCCCATTCAAGTCAAATATCATCTATACCATTAATGTAAATGTAAATTTTTACAGTATTTGTGAGTGACCCCATGTCAGAAGATACACGAGGACAATTCAAATCAAAATCATCTATATCATTAATGTAAATGTAAATTTTTACAGTATTTGTGAGTGACCCCATGTCAGAAGATACCACGAGGACAATTCAAATCAAAATCATCTATATCATTAATGTAAATGTAAATTTTTACTGTGTTTGTGAGTGAGCCCATGCCAGAAGATGCCACATGGTGCCAGTTCAAATCAAATATCATCTATATTATTAATGTAAATGTAAATTTTTACCGTATTTGTGAGTGAGCCCATGTCAGAAGATAGCACACGGGCCAGTTCCATCTAGGCGTCCTTGTTTACCTCCAAGTAAATAATAATGGATTGTTGTCTCAGTGTTTCGGTTCCTCTTTCCATGGAGTCAAATTTGCTTTTTTCATTTATTTTGCAGAAGAGAAATACTGATTGCCAGTTTTTATTCAACTCTTAGAGCAAAAAACAAGGATTAGGAGGTACAGCAAGTGGAGCTGTACAGGGGTGGTAGCCCTTAATCCCAGCACTTGGGCAGAGGCAGGCAGATAGATCTCTGTGACTTCAAGGCCAGCCTGGTCTACATAACCAGTTCCAGGCAAGCCTAGGCTACATAGTGAGATCCTGTCTTTAAAGGGGGGCGGGGTGCATATATCTTTAATCCCAGCACTCGGGACTCAGAGGCAGGTAGACCTCTTTGACTTCAACGCTAGCCTGGTCTACATAGCCAGGTCTAGGCCAGCTGGGGCTACAGGGAGACCCAGGTTGTTATTGTTGTTTTATTTGAGGTTTGATAAAAAGGTATAGCAAGTATAATTTCAAAATTCCATAGCTATGTTAATCTGTCTATATCTGTTTAAGTCCCTGTTAGCAAGGGACTTACTTGCCAGACATAGGAAACCTCCTTTGGAATTGCTGGTCAGGATAGTCCAAGAGACTCCAAAAATAGCACAGGCTATTGCCACAGTCCCCAGAACTTGAAGGCGATACTCTGTTACTGAAGACACAACATAGTTCACATAGGACTTGGAGCAGTTGGGCTGGAACTGACCTGGAAACCTCCTCTCTGAAGACTAGCACTCATGGTATCAGAAGATACTATATAAGCTGCTAAGAGAGAAAAACAATCAGTACTCCTAGCCAGCTGTAAAGCCTACAAACCACAACAAAGACTGGCCCAGCAAACTATTTCTATTGATGCAGTAGTGGCACTTTTATCTTGGAAGTAATAGACAGCTGTCTAATTGGATTAAGGCCTGCTCAGTGGGAAGGAACTCACATGTGGTACTGTAATAGCCAAGTTCACATGGCTGGAGAGCTCATTGACCCTAGAGAAAAACCTGTCACTTTCCTAGACCAACATAATTTCTTATTATAGTCAAAATAGGTATCCTTATATTTACAAACAGGTATATTTACCACTCATCAAAGAAACTTCTTTTTGCAATAGATGGAGACTATTACAAAGTACAGAGAATAACTGAGGTACCCAGCCCTAAGTGACACATCTGCAATGCAACCTCTACACCTAAGACTCAGGGAGCATCGCAGAAGAGGGTGGACTGTAAGAGCCAGAAGAACAAGACACCTGCTGCTAGCTAATACATTCTAGACATGATAGGGAAGCTGCGCCAATGAAGTCTCCACAGTGTGGTAGTCTGACAAGATCTGCATAATGACAACCAGTTGACATACCAAGGAGGATGGGGGAATTTCACAGGGCCTCACCTAAAAGTATGAAGAATTACAGGCTATCAATGGATGCTGAGAGAGGGAGAATCAGTTCTGTCCAGGGGCCAGCTCCCTGAGAGGTTATAGAATCCCAAATGGGCAGCCCTAAACACAGGTACATAAATGGACTCAGTTCATTTTATACACACACACCCATAATTTACAAATATGTGTATGTTACAGTAAAGAAGAGGGCAAGAAGAAATTGAGAGGGGCATGCGAGGAGTTGTTTGGCTACTGAGGGGAATGGAAAGAATGCAAAGAACAGCACTTAGACAGTACTTATGTATTAAATTCTGAAAAATAGGGGCTGGAGAGATGGCTCAGCAGTAAAGAACACTGACTGTTCTTGCAGAAGACCTGGGTTTGATTCCCAGCACCCACATAGTGGCTTCAAACCGTCCTTAACTCCAGTTCCAGGGGAGTCCGACACCCTCTTCTGACCTCCATGGCATTGGACACGGGTGCACATACATGCAGGCAATACACTCATACACATAAAATAAAAATAAATAATATATATATATATAAAAGAGTACAAAGCCATTTAAAATTTGGGTTCTAGGAAAATTAGAAACATGAAAGTTGATGCATTTATAAGGGATAGGATAGAGCGGTATTGAATAAATAAGTTAAAGAAAAAAAAATGAAGGCTTTCATGTTTATGGAGCATATATTGTAAGTGTGTGTTTAAAAGACGAGGCCTTAGAGTGCAGCTCGGGGTAGAGTGCCTGCCCAGCATGGTTGAGGCTGGCCTGGCTTGAGTTCCCACTCTGGAAAAAGAAGGAGAGAAATAGGAAAGCTGACTTCCTGGCATTGCCCCAGTTCTTTATTCCTCTTTTCGTTTTGAGGAAAGAACCCACAAAGGTAGTCATCTCTCTCTTATACTATATTATTTGCAGTGGGAAGGTGGGTGTTTAGTTTTGTTTGGTTTTGAAGGTGAGACAGAGTGGAAAGATTCTAAGTATGCCAATTGAATAGCCCCTAGTGGTGTTAAGGAAAAAATTTGAATTATTATCTAAAGATGTTGAAAGGGAGGGAAAAAACCAATTCTGTAGTGATTGGTTTACTATTTTAAATTCTATTTCAAGGACAAATACAGTTTTACTTTATTTTTAAGATATCTAGCCATAATATATGTATAGTATATAATTTGACAATATTGCCTTCTAAAAACCATATTTATTGTCTTGTTTTTCAGAAGTTCTTTTTGCTAAAAATGAAATCTGTATCTGATAGACTTAAATGGTACATTTGAAATTCTTCTATTTCCTTGGGTTTGAAAATAGCTCAGTGAAATTATATTGGAGATCTGTTGAGAGAAACTTAGCAGTAGTTGGTTCACCGTCTCCAAAAAGTCTTAAAAAGCTGCACGACTGTTATGCAGATCCAAATTTAAAACTGATTTGTTGCCAAATACAGTTTTTGAAACTGTTGAATAGTTCATTAAAAATAATTATTGTAATTTAAATTTTCTCTAGCATAAGGCAATTTGATTAATTTTATACTGTAAGATATATAATAAATTTATTTTGGAAAGACACTATCTTTCAAGGCAAAAGCCTTCATTTTTTTCATGAGAAATCTTTACTACTCAATTTCAAGCTAACATCCTATTCATAAGTCTTGGGCTCATTTCTAGTGTTAATACTGTCTAACAAGTGCGTTGTTATGTATAGTTGGCCTTGGCAGAATTATACGAAGATGAAGTGAAATGCAAGACTTCCAAGTCCGGTAGACCTAAAGCTACAGTCTTTAAGAGCCCACGAACACCACCTCAGAGGTAAGTGTGCTTTCCAAACACTAGCCTTTTTTAGTTCACTAAGTCCAAACTCTTTTAAAACCCTTGGGGATTTTTTAAAGTTTCCTAAAATAAATATCTAGGTACTATCCTAAGTTGTTTGTAGTCAGCTAAAAGAAAAGTACAGAGCATTACCTTCAGTACCTGATATTGTTGTGGGCACATATAAAATTCCATCTTAATGCTATGTTTGCTTGGACACAATGGCTCTCATTCTCAAAAGATATCATTTTACCAAAAGTCGAAAAATTCACTGGAACACTGGAAATTATTTTTTTGTCACTACCCTTTTATTTTGGTAGGGGAGACAAAAATGATGTATCTTTTGTACTTGAATGAAAATGAAAATCCTTATAACTCTTTCCTCACCTTTCTCTTTTATAAATTTTAAAACCCATAGAAGATCTAAAGGTTAGTAAAAGGAGTATGTGCTGTGACTGTCTCACCTGTGTCACTGGTTGTCAACGTGTCAGAGCTGCAGGTCACTCATGCTCACTTTCTTTTTAACTTCAGTCTCTGAAAGCAGATTGTAGCCATCCTGACACTCGCCTCTAAGTGCTTCAGTGTGTACCTCAAAGAAAAGTATGAGCTTTGTATAGTCTGGACAACATGGTATAGCTTAAAAATTAACGTACAGGCTGTCGGCAGGTATTCCTTGTAACCTTCTTTGGAGATTTCAGGCCCTGACCAGGGACCATTTATTGCATTTGGTCATTTCTGTGTTGGATTTTTGAATGCAACGCATTCTTTCCACATTTTTGCCTGTTTTTAGCTCACCCACATAATTTGAAATTTATTACATTCACTTTTTAGAGTCTGCACCAGATGTCTCATAAAGTGTCCCACATTCTAGATCACTTTTTCTTCATGGTTAGATTCTTGTTAAACATTTTTGTTGAGTGTGCTAGATGAGTGATATTATCTGCTTTTTATTACATCACATCAGGAGCCATATAATTTCAAGTTTTTCCACTATTGATGATATGCTCACTTGATTAAGGTGCTGACCACATCACTCCATTGTAAGGTACAGTTTTTCTTTGTAACAGCAGGTTGGTATCTTGGCATGGTTTGAATATCCTATCCTTTGATTTCATTCTTATTTGTTACACATATGCGTACATGTATATATATGGAATAAATTTTAACTGCCTCCTTAAAGTATACATTCCCCAAAGTTTTTAAAGAATTTAATTTGTATTTGTATACCTAAGTTTTACTCATTCAGTATTTCAGTTTGGCCTTTGGCTCCAGGTTGAGCATATGAAGAATGACTTAATTTTGCTTGGTGTAGTAAATCAATATATTTGAGTTCTTAAAAAGGGTCGGTATTGTCTTTGTTACTCATACATTAATTCTGTGATCACAAGTTCAGGGTCATCCTGGGCTACCAAGCAAATTCAAGCCAGCCTGAGCTGTCTCATAAAACTATGGTCTATGGATATGGCTTAGTGGTAAAATGCCTATGTGTGCCAGACCCTGGGTTTGATCCCTAATACTGGAAAAAAAAAAAAAAAAAGCATATTTCATTGAATAAGTTTACAAATACAATCTAAAAATTTTTTTGTTAGAAATTTTAATTTGGTTTACTTTTTTTGATTGTTTGTTTGGGGGTATGATAAATTGAACCTAGCACCTCACACACATTAAGCATACCCTTTACCACTGAACTACACCCCCTACCAGTAATGTACTTATTAAGAGATTTGTACCTTCAAATTTGATCTTTAGAATTACTTAATATTCAAAAGGATGAGCTTCCTTAAATTCTGAGACTTAAGATTTAGTGACTTAAAATAGAATGTGTAGCATCAATTGGCAGTCTATTTTTCTTTGTGTTCTCTTCTAGTACGTGGTGTAGCCACATTCCTATTCGTGCTCTCACATTCATCATGAGCCTTTACCCTGTTCATCGTGTCTCTACTTACTGACTATAAAAGCAGCTGCTTAGCTTCATGTCTCCTCATTGGGCAGTATTGGAAATCAAAACAGCTATATTCTCCTTTTCCTTTTATTGTTCTTCTGCCATGCAGGGTCTCATTATGTAGCCCAGGCAGACCTGGAACTCAAGCACGCAATCCTCCTGCCTTGGCCTCCAAAGTATTGAGGTTACAGTAGTGTGCTAGCACCAGCACATCTAGGATTATCTTTTATAAGCCAGCATGTTTTCATAATTCAAAATACTACACATAATATGGTCTGTGCCTTTAGTTTACAAGAGGAGGTATATAAGCTGTACAAATCGCTCAGTATAAAAAAAACCCTGCTTTAACAAATTCATCCACAGAAAGAGGCTGTATATATATATCACAAGCAAAATTTAAGAACATGTTTTAAGGATCATTATATAATAGTGTTGTTTTGAGAATTAATTGAGATAGTGCATATAAGATGCCTAGAACAAGGTTGAACCTCAAACGAGTATTAAAATCTAAGCATCAAAGATAAGGGACAAAGTTCCACATGCAAAGAGGCATACAAGAAAATATGATGGGTGAAGAGATGATTCAGTGGTTAAGAGACTGGCTGCCCTTCAGAGGACCCAGGTTTGGTTCCCAACACCCCCGTGGCAGCTAACAACCATTGGCAGGCAAGGTCAGAAAAGGAAGCAGCAGAACATTAAAAGATTAATGGTAAATAAAATTGAATTTTTTTTAAAGACGTTAGTTAGGTAAGTGGAGGTGCAGCCAAGTAGGGCTTCATGGGTATGTCAGCTGTGTGTCAGGACCCCATACTTGTTTTGTATATTTTGGGTGTGGGGACTGACATGTTCATTTTGCAGTGGCCCCCATGTTCCATTGCTTGTCTTGATTGTGCACACCTGAAAAAAGCAAGGAACTGTGTTTCTCTCACTTAGATGTCACTGAAAAGCTAGCATGCTTTAAAGTGTGTTCAGTGATCAAAGCTATAGTGCCCAAACCAAAGACAGATCATCTCACTTTGCTCGCTCGTTTGCTCTGTGTGTGTTTCTGTGTTTCTCTTTCTCATTTAGCCTCCCTTAATCTTAAGTTTTCCCACATGTAAAATGGAGATAATATGTAGAAGAATGTAATGAACACAATTTACTCCTTGATAAATGTTAGCAGTTAATTCTCTTAGGAAAATAGCTGGGCGTGGTGGCCCACGCCTTTAATCCCAGCACTTGGGAGGCAGAGGCAGGGGGATCTTTGTGTTCAAGGCCAAAAGATTTATCGTCCTCTTTTTTTTTTTTTTTTTTTTTTTTAAAAAAAAAAAAAAAAAAAAAAAAAAAAAAAAAAAAAAAAACCCAGCTGTATCTTGTTAGAAAAACTAAGAAAACACAAAATTGAACATGGTCGAAGAGTAAAGAGGCAGATCAAGAAGAGAACAGTTGGTGAAACAAAGGAACAAGACAATGACTTTTGAGATCCAAGTAGACATTGGGATGAAGGGGAGTGGATGAAATTGCCCTAGGTGCTTTAAAAGTGTTGATTATAGAAACTTGATGTCAGGGAACATGAGGTGTGAGTAGGAGACAGGTTCTTGATCTGTGATGAAGGAAAATCGCCACTGGGAGGGATCAGTGTGACCATGGTTGGCTTTGGAGGTAATGAGCTTCAATATTATTCAGAATGTTGAATTATTCTGCAGGTGCAGAATTATTCAGTAGGTGCATTTATTTATTTATTTATTCATTTATTTATTTAATTTATTTTTGTCTTTTTGCAACAGGGTCTCCTGGTAGCCCCAGCTGTCCTGGAACTCACTATGTAGATCAGGCTGGCCATGAACTCACAGAGATCTGCCTGCCTCTGCCTCCCAAGTGCTGGGACTACAGGCATGCACCACCACGCCCGGCCTGCTTTTATTTATTTTTAAAGGTATTTACAAACTTTTAAATGTCAGTAAAAGAGAAAAACGAGCCAGGCATAATGGCACACGCCTGTAATCCCAGCACTTGGGAGGTAAATGCAGGAGGACCAGGAATTCAGGGTCAGCCTCAGCCACATGATAGGTTCAAGGTCAGCCTTGTATACCTGAGACCATGTTTCACCTCCCCTTCCCCTAACCAAACAATCAAAAGGAAGCCAAAGTGCTAGGCAGGATGGTGTACATTTATAATACCAGCACTTGAATAGCTTAGGCAGGAGGAGCGTAAGTTTGAGGTGTGCCTGGGCTGCATGGTGAAGAGAGAAAGGAAGAGAAGATGCTTTTAAAGAAGGGCTCGATCATACATCTGAGTCATGCCAGCAGGAGTTGCTATGGGACTGAACAGATATTTTGTTGATCAAATGAGTTTTAAATAAGAGGACAACAGAAGACAAGGATATAGGCATCTTAATTATGAGAAAGGAGAAAGTAAATAAAAGCATGGTTAGAACCCATTGGGCAGAGGGGCAGGCAGTTTTCTATCATGAAAGTCAGGAAAAGGCAGACCTCAAATATAAGGTGAGAAAAAGAGAGAAGTTGGGAAATATTGTAACTGTCCTGGTTAGTAAATATTCTTGCTGCCCTGCCTCTCCAAAGAACAGTTAAAATTTGAAGAGTAGGGTACTTACTGATCAGAAGACTCACATCAAGGCTGTGGTAGTGAAAGAGAGTGAGGATCGGCAGACCAGCCAGTGAAGTAAGACCTAGAATTCAGTCTTCGATCCTCCTAGATGGCTTTTGACCTATGACAAAGACGACAGCAAGGAGAGAATCATGCTCAACAGTCCTAAGACAAGTAGGCATTTACACAGGGAAAATTAGTCTTGACCTCCCCCTCATACCATGTGCAGACATCAGTTCCAGATGGATTGTGGATCTGAATATAAAATTCAGTCAGTGAAGCTGCTTTAAGAAAACACAGTGTCTGTCTGAACTTAAAGGAGGCCAAGATTCCTTAAATGTAATAAAAATCGTTAACTATAACTGCTGGTAAATCTTTTCCTCTGGCCAATTTTTGAGATGGGTCTTTCTCACCAAGCAGACATAAAGAGGAAGGATCATTCACTTCACCAGTTTGTAGACCTGGAGCAGGGAGGGCAGGAACTATTAACAGGAGTGCATGTAGTCAAGGAGACTTGGCTCTGCTTTTCTGGTGTCACGTCTACCCGAGACTGTGCTGTCCAGTCCTCTCACCAGCACTAGTGCTTATCTCAGCCAGGCAGGCCGTTGTCTCCCCTACTTGCTGCACTAGGAGGAAGGCTTCTGGGGCCCCAGTGTACTTCTCCGGGGCACTGGCAGGATGGCGGCCACAGGGAGTTGAGAGTGTCAGTTCTTCCCCTATCTTCTTCATTTTCATGCCAATTTAAGAGAAGATAGTGATGGTGAGCTCTGCTTCTAGGCCCAGGGCTGGCATGTTTCCCCTGTTGCTTTGTTCTGTGAGTTACTTTTGCGTGAATGTGGAACTGGAATATGCAAGGTATGGGAAGCTACAGGTGAACTTTTGTCAGTTCACATTGGATTTATATCCTGAGCTGAAAAAGGAATCTTGAAAGATAAGAATTTTAATGTTAGGTGAAATCACTACGTACAGAATATACAAAGTTTTTGACACTGGCATTTTTAATGCCCTAGATCTTTTTTTATTCTAAAAATATCTGAGGAATATTTGAGGAATAAATCTTCATTGTGTAGCCATGTGGGAATTAAATGTTAGTGCTGACTGAGGCTGGAGATCTCTTTGCTGACCAGTCTCCACTAAGTGTGGGTTCTTTGGATGAGGGGTGGGACACTACAGCTTCCCATTATCGACAGTTCTTCCCCACCACATCAGAATAGCCCAATTTGTGAAAATGGGAATTCCATGTGCAGTTACTCAGGGTTGAGGGAGAAAGCAAGGACCCCAGTTACCATGTTGGTTGAAGAACTTGCTGTCAGAATGTCAACAGACTCAGAAAGGACGCAACTATCCCCTGTTTCATCCTTTCCTTAATAACATGTTTTATCATGTTATCAGTATCATAACATGTTTATTTCAGATGCAGCAGCAGTGTTAAAATTGGCAATCTTATTTCATAACTGCACCAAGTAAACTTAGCCATTTAAGTATTTTTAAAGTCATTCCCTTCAAAAACTGAGGGAATTTTTCTTTTCCACCACCACACATCATGGTTCCCCAATAGTCCTCTTTTTAGAGGACCTTCAATTCATGAGTTAACTGCTTTAGAGCTACTTAGGAACTCCTTCCTCCAAATGGAAATTAATCTTGATAGATCATATATTGCAAAGATTTCTCTATGGATTTTTTTCTTACACCTTAAATGCATATATAACATAAAGAAAAAGTTTAACCTATTTACCCCATGTAAAAAACCATCTGTCCTGAAAAATGTGATGGTGTAGCCTGATATCTTCCAGTTAATAGAATTACTGTTTTACCTTAAAGATTATTTTTATCTAATAACATTTAAAAAATTAAATGTTTTCAAAGAACTCAAAAGTACCTCTTTTTAAAGAAAGTTATTTTGTAGGACTGTGTAGTGTCTTACTCTAAAGCAGTTTATATTTGTTCTAAGTTTTTATTTATGATCTGTAATGTTTAAAGGTTTTATTCAGGTGAACATGAATATAGTGGATTACATATAGTTCAGCCTCCAACTGGGAAAATTGTAAATGAACTTTTCAAAGAGGCAAAAGAACACGGGGCCGTCCCTCTGAATGAAGCCGCAAGATCTTCCAGTGATGACAAAGCTAAGGTCAGTGCTCTTTTAAAACTATACTTATCTGGGCCACTAGGATGGCTGAGCAGGTAAAGACTTAACTGCCACCAAGCCTGATTCCCTGAGATTGGTCCCCGGGATCCACATGGTAGAAGACAAGAACCAACTCCTTCAAGTTATTTTCTTACTCCACATATGCCTAGACACACATGCGCGCGCACGCACACACACACACACACACACACACACACACACACACACACATACACAGAGACAAATTATAAAAAATTTTAAAGAAACTTATTTCCATATTTGGACTGTCGGTTTTTTATATTATCTATAAATATTATTTTCCTAAATATCACTTACAAATATTAGTTCTCTATATTATTTGTTTCATTTTTGTAGGTCTATTAATTTAAGTTGAGGTGGTTTTTTACATTTCTGAGTAATTTTATTTACTTTTAAACTTTGAGATAATTACAGATTCACGGGAACTTACAACAAGATACAGAGGTCTGTACCTTCCACCCAGTTTCTCCTGATGATTCCATTTTAAATGATTATAAGATCAAAGTCAGGAATTTGACATTGGTACAAAGTATATTTGTAGTCCTATATGGCCAAGTTTATCAAGATGCTATTGCACAGTTGCAAAGCTCTCCTTCATGGTATAGCTTCTAGTCACCTAGACCCCACGTGGCTATCACTAACCTGTTTTCCATCTTTATATTGTAGTGTTTCTTCCTCAACATAATGCCCTTCAGATCCATCAGTTATTGCTTGCATCAATCTTTGGCCCCTTTATATTCCCACTAGCATCCCATGGTGTGGAGTCCCATGGTGTGGGGTCCCGTGGTGTGCTTAACCGTTTATTGAGGCACATTTTCCTTGTTTCCAGCTTTTTGCTATTACAAAGAGTAGCTGTGACTGGTCATTTACAGGTTTTTATACAAATAGAAGTTTTCATTTCTTTGAAATAAATACCCAGGAAAACAGATGCTCAGTAATATGGCAGTATATATTTAGTTCTTTAGAAACTCTTCCAAAATGGTTATGCAACTTTATATTCATAAGTATATGAAAGGTCAAGTTTTTTCTGCATCTTTGTCAGCATTTGGTATTGTCATTGTTAATGTTTTTAGCCATTTTGGTAGATGTGTTATGAAAACTCGGTGTGGTTTTCATTTACATTTTCTCAGTGTAGTTAATTTGCATTTTCCTAATGACTGGTGATGTTGAACATTTTCATAAGCTGGTTTTCTGTTATCTTTATTTTCCTTTTCATGAAAGCCTCTGCTGCCCTAATCTGTTTGGCTTCTGCCAAAATTGAGTTCTTTCTTTGAATGCATGTGGATCCTTTGTCTAATAAATGTTTCTCAAATATTTTCTCTGACTGTAGTTTGAACTTATTTTCATCTTCTTAGGATATTCTGTGAAGTATAAGTTTTAAATTTTGACAAAGCCAGCTTACCTTTCTTTTTTTTAATGGCTCATGCTTTTTTGTCTTGTTTAATAATTTCTCACCTAACTATAGGTCCCAAAGTTTTTTTCTTATGTCATTTAGAAGATTTTTGTAGTTTTACATTTAAACCCATGGCTAATTTTGTGGAATGACTAGATTCATACCAAGGGTCGTTTTTATCTATGTTTACTGTGTCATTTGTTGGAAGCTCTCCTTCTGCCGTTGCTTTTCTACCGTTCTAAGTTTCTGGAAATATTTTATACAGCTTCTGTAACTGTGTCAGCTGGCACAGTATGGGTGCACTGAAAGACATGTCAGGTGTGTTTTTATGCATATAGTCTTACAATCTGCCTTTCTCAATTTATAATTCTCCCATCAAAATCTTTTGGGGAGGAACTAGAGAGATGGCTCAGTAGGTAAGAGCACTGGCTGCTCTTGTAGACGTGACTCCAGTTCCAGGGGTCCTGATGCCCTCTTGCATGCACAAGTGCACTTATATACATGCGGGCAGGCAAAACACTCATACCTGTAAAAATAATAAATTTTCTGGGTGTGGTGGAGCATGCCTGTAGTCCCAGCACTCGGGAGGCAGAGGCAGGTGGATCTCTGTGAGTTCAAGGTCTGCCTGGTCTACACAGTGAGTTTCAGGCCAGCTGAGCCGGGCATGGTGGTGCATGCCTGTAGTCCCAGCACTTGGGAGGCAGAGGCAGGCAGATCTCTGTGAGTTCAAGGCCTGTGTGGTCTACATAGTGAGTTCTAGGCTAGCTGGGGCTACAGGGAGACCCTGTCTCAAAAAGACCAAAAAATAATAATAGTAATAATAATAATAATAAATTTAAATTTTTAAAATGCAAAAATCATTTGGGGAGATTTTTTTTTTAAACAACTACTTGGCCTAAGGAATTATGGCTCTGGAAGTTTGTGAAGTACCTGGACATGTGTCCTGATGAAACCTTTCTGATAATTTTGTCATTTACTGGTAAGAATCACTGTTCTCCATAGAACTTAAATTTTAGTATTCATTATTTGTCAGCAGCTACAAAACCTCTTTCTGTTAAGCCTTAAGGTAATTTTAATTCTGCTTAAGTAAACACATGTAATTCTCCAGTTCATTAAGGAAAGTACGGAACTGATAATTTCGTGTGTAGAAAGAAGCAAGGTGGAAATTAAAAGTTCATTCATGGTGCAAATGATAATTTTAAAAGAATGGCAGTTTCTGCCAGGCATGGAGGCAGGTGGATCTTTGTAAGATTGAGGCCAGCTTTCAGGCATTTTGATAGCTGTTGGAGTATCTAGAATCAGTGTCAGTTCCCTCTCAAAGGCTTCTAGATAGGGGAAGAAAACAAATTTGGCCATCATTTTAGAACAATAGCGAGTTGTCTCCCTTAGCTACAGGTGGGCACTACAGTATTGCAAACCAAGATTTGAAGTCTTATATCTGAGCAGCACTTTGTGAAGTGGGAAGTGTAATCCCTTGAACTCTTAAAGAAATACACTGATTACTTTACTCTTTGGTTATACTTTCCTTTTGAGTGTTTAAGACCATACAGTTGGCCCAAATAAACCTTTTATATTTATACTTAAGGTCATTTGAGGATCTGTTCCTCAGGGGTCACGTGGGCTTAGTTGGAGCCCCTGGCTCCTTTCTTTTACCAGTTCCATCTGTGTGTCAAAGGTCCTGCTCGACTGTGTTTAGCTTCACTTGGAAACATGGAGGAAATGTTTCCTCTGTGTTGACCCTCCTCTTTGTAGACTGGACACTGGTTCAAGTCCATCTGGTAGGATCTCCATGGCCTCCCTGTACAGGAGGACAGGTGACTTACCACAGTTACAGGACATTTTGAGAGATGCTCCATAGTCCCCTGGAACTTAGCCGACCTTGGAGGGCAAAGAGCAAAAACTTTCCTTTAAGTCCCTCTGACCAGATTAGTATAGGCCTCAAAGTATGGCTGTTAAACATCCAAGAAGGTTAGTTCCACCAGTCTGGTACTTTTAATTACCATGTGCTATGTAGATAAAACTTGGGCAAAAACAAACAAACAAACAAAAACACACAGTAAAGAGCCAGCTCTGTTGCAACACATCTAATCCTATCATTTGGAAAGTGAAAGATCAGGAGTTCTGTGACATCAAGTCATGTCATGGTCTCCTTCAAGACAGAGTTCCAAAGACAGCAGAAAAGTTTTATGGTCCAAGCCCTGGAAAGGATTTGGTTCTAAGGGGTCCTGCTTTCCTAGAATTACTCCAGGATTCACGTGCCAGCGTGGTGACCTCACATACCATAATGGGACTGACAGCAAGTCCCTTTAGTGGAGAGATTTGAGGATGAGAACTTCATCCTATAGCACAGTGGGCCTGGCATTGTGTCCATAGCAAACACACAAATGCTTCCCAGCTTTTCATCTGCACTATGAGAACTGTTTGAAGGACAGTGCGTGGCCTCTGGGAAGGTGAAGGAAGGCAGGAGCACCGTGGGAGTCATGGAGCACTTTGGGTCCAGGAATGACAAGACCAGCAGCAAGATGAGCCCTGTGACTGTGGACAGCACTGATGCACTGATTCAGTGTCACCACCAGACCCTTCCTCCATGCTCAGCAGAGCACCCCACCCCATCTGCTGGAGTACCCCATGATCTGTTCCCACTGCAGGTCTTTGGGTTCCGTATTTGCATCATTCTCCTCCACATCAAGCTGGATGGCAGGGCTAAGTTTATGATTTTGAATAAAAACTAAGTAAGGAAAAAAGAAACAACAAAAGATTGAGGCCAACTGGGGCTACAGGGAGACCCTGTCTCAAAATAACAAAAAAACATTAAAAAAAGGAATGGCAATTTCTCTTCAAATTATCCTACCTGAAGACCATGTGGTTAGTATAGCAAAATCAAGTGTATGATCATAGCTCACTTACTCTAGTTAGAGGAAAGCAGCTTAAAAATATAGAGAACTTACTTTTTACATTTGTGTGTGTGTGTGTGTGTGTTCATGCACACATGTATGTCATGAAGCTCACATGTAGAAGTCAGAGGACAACTTGCAGGAATCAGTTCCTTCCTTCCACCTGTGGGGGTCTAGGGATCAAACTCTGATCATCTGGCTTGGGCATACCTGTACCTGCTGAGCCATCTTGTTGACCTATAGAACTTTTCTTCAAGTTAATTTGTACTCATTTATAAGATTTCTCCAGGCTAGAGAGATGGCTCAGCGGTTAAGAGCACTGATTGCTCTTGCAGAAGACCCGGGTTCGATTCCTAGAGCTGACATGGCGGCTGTGAGCCATCCTTAACTCCAGTTCCAGGGGAATCCAAAGCCCTCTTCTGACCTCCATGGCATTGCATGACACGGGTGCACTCACATACATGCAGGCAATACATTCGTATACATAAAAATAATAAATAAAATATTAAAAAGATTTCTTCTTTACTTTGTGTGACTCTTCATAAAATAGGATTTAATACTTAAAAAACATTCTTGTACATAAATACATAGCTTAAGATTGTCTTAAATTAATTTCAATTCTAAGTTACTGTTTGTATGAAAAAAATGTAACTTCTTATTTGAATACACTTCTTTGTAACTTAAGATCTTCATTGTAATGTTTCCTAGTAAGTATAAATCCGGCCAGTTATTATTTGTGTCTAGTTTTAAAATATACCAGGTACAGTAAAAATATTTTGACCAGAAGCCTTTAGTGAGCCTTTAACTCACTTACTTTATTTCAGTCATTTACAGGCGGAGGATATAGATTGGGCAATTCCTTTTGTAAGCGGTCAGAATATATCTATGGAGAAAACCAGCTACAAGATGTAGGTAAAGGTAGCAGAATTGAAATGTTTAAGCATTTGCCTCAAATTATTGCTGTTTTTTTTTTTCCTTCCTAAATTTAGAAATTGACACTATGAATGCAGTCTTTTTTGTTGTTAGGTTTTGAAGCATGGGCTAAAGGACCCACTGTGTTAGTTTCTGGTCTCAGTTTTAACATTTTTTTATCTGTTATGCCTTGTACCAGTTGTGGAAAAAAATAATATAATTCTTGTCCAAGTAAACATACATACACATATATATTTCTTATAAAGTATATACTGTCATAAATGTTAAATTATAAACATAATTTATACATTTAATTTGAATATACTTCTTTATAACCTAAAATCATTATTTCTCTTGTCTTCAGAAATGTTAAAATTACAAAAATTTATTTTACACATTAATACTTTCTGGGAAGGTCTGCCTTCCCTGTGGGCATGGATAGTTAAGTTGTGGAACAGAAGAGTTTGGGTGGATGAGGAAGTATGGGGTTCGCAGTAGTGGGTAGATCCTGTCTTCTTACTGCTTTTGTTTTTCATAGAACTCTGAGTGATGTATTCTGGGGCCAGGTTCCACCTGTAGGACTTTGATATTTACAGCCTTTATCAGTTTTTTTAAGCTAAAAGTAAACCTGCTAAGCAAACACATGTAAATACATGTAGTTTGAAACAGTATGACTAAAGAATACAACAAATATCTCTCTATTTTAAGATAGTATTTTAAGTTAATCATGCAATAAGTTGAACAATATCATAGTTGAAACAAAACTGTTTGGAGATGAATTCTTATACTTTTTATTTGTATTCCCCGAAGGTTCAGATTTTACTTAAGCTGTGGAGTAATGGTTTCAGTTTAGATGATGGAGAATTGAGACCTTACAGTGACCCAACAAATGCTCAGTTTTTGGAGTCTGTTAAGAGAGGGTAAGATAAATTATTTGTCTTCGATTTATTATGCTGAGTGGAACTATTTTGTGTATGTATATACATGTTTATGTGGCTGCACTTTTATGCATGTGGAGGTCAGAGGCCACCCTTGGTGCTGTTCCTTGGCTATTGTATACCTTGTTTTTATTGTTGTTTTGTTTGGGAGTTGTAATACAAATCTTAATTTAGGCTTGGTCAGTACAGGCAAGATACTATCACAGAGCAATAAGCATTAAGAGGCTAAAACAGCTGATTAAAAATGGAGTAACTATGCACACAAATCTCTTAAACATTCAGTCACTTAAAGATAAATGCACAGATGTATGATGGAAAAAACTTTACCCAACACTGAAAGTACTATAGGACTCCAACAACAAGCCCAGCTTTTTAGTGATTAAAAACTTTCCTACTGGGCAAACTTGGCAGTCATAAAAATCACATCTACTCTTTAACAGGTCTGAATGGTACATAAGTATATAACAGCATGAGCAAGAAAGAATGTCCCTACACAGCACAGGTTCTAGATAAACACAGGCATTATTGTATTATGCTTTAAGGAAAGCCTCCTATTTCAACTTTACATTAACTCATATAAAAACAACCCTATACAAAATGTACTTTTAGCAACATTCAAAGTAGTTAACTATTACAAATTTCAAATTGGCAGAGGTATTGAAGCAATAAGCCTAGCTTACAGAGCGAGTTCTAGGTCAGCTAGGGCTACACAATGAGACAAAAAAAAAAAAAAAAAAGAAAGAAGAAAGGAATCAGCATACCCACAAAGGCAAATTGTGACAAAAGTATGCATTAATTTCTTTGATAGTATACCTACTCTCCCAGATCAAATATCACTTTATATCTTAAAAAAAAAAAAATCCTGGTGCTGGAGAGATGGCTCAGCAGTTAAGAGCCCTGACTGCTTTTGCAGATCTAGGTTTGGTTCCTAGCACCCACATGATGACTAACAATTGTTAACTCCAGTTCCAAAGGTTCTGACACCTTTTCTGGCATCTGCAGCATTGCATGCATGTGGCACACTTACATACATGCAAACTAAACACTCATACACATAAAATAAATCAAGAAAAGAAATTTGCTAAAAAGAATATTATGAATCTTAACCCCTGTACATTTACACTTAAATCCAAGCCAATCTGATCGTGTTTGGGAACCCACAGTTCAAATACTTGCCCCAGTTACTGCTTTTTCTTTGAGGGTCATGATTGAAATCTGCCATTTGAGTGATGAGTGATAATGATAATTTTACCTGCCTATGGGAGAGTCTGTACATCAGACCCCCACACTAAATTAGTTTACATAGCTACTACCTCCTCTGCTGGTTCTCTTTGAAATGTTGGAAGCCTTATTATCATTCCCTGGAGAAGAAGTTGTGCTCCCCTCCCTTTGAAATCCCATCTTGTATTTTGAAACAGTCTTGCTTGGAACTCACCAAGTAGGTTAGGCTGGCTGGCTGTTGAACCCTAGATATCCATCTGACTCTGCCTCTCCAGCACTGGGGTTACAAGTGCACACACTACCACACCTGGCTTTCTTACATAGGTTCAGGAGATTGAACTCAGGTCTTCATGCTTGCATCAGAAGCTCTTTATCAACTAACTGATCTTCCAGACACTGTTTCTTTTTTAACAGTTCTGTAGTTCACTGCTAGCTTTCAGGAATTGGTTACTGGGACATGTTACATAAGTGATTCCTGGAGAGAAAGATATTGTGGATTTTTGAGGGGAAAGGAAGTTGAACATTGGATCTCTTTTAAATGTGGTGAAAATATGGGCTCAGCTCCAAGATGAAACACCTTATGGAAATAAATGAGTATGTTACTTAGTGTGTAGCTACCCATCCACTAAGCCACTGTCCTGCTTACTGTTGACAGGGTGGTTCATTGCATGTTGCCTGAAATTCAACAGCTTACATTACAAATCTTTTAAAGTGGCATTACTACTGGCAGAAGATTTCCAAAGGTTAGTTTGAAGTTACAACTTGTGAAACTATACCAGATAAACAGTGCTTTGACCCACCCAAAGAACGTTCTGACCCTTCAGTCCTTCTTGCTAAGAGATGGGGAATCAAGTTATTTGCTGTAATAAAAGCTTTTCTGCAGAATGGTTCCACTGGCTGACAATGAAATTTTCCATAAGTAGAAATGTGAGTAAAGGCATAAGGCTGGTGATAAACTAGGAGATTGAGTAGCAGGAAGAGACCAGAATAGGTTTTACTCTGTCGAGGTATTGGAAGTGGAGCCCTTTTAATGAAACATGTCCTTGGATTGACTAAAGTGGAATGGGGACAGAATTTAGGGGGTTGAAATATTAAAGAACTCTGCAGGAAAGATGATACTATAGAAAGTGAAGTAGCATAAACTTTTGTTTGAATTTTGCGCAGATATTGTAAGCATACCAAACAAAGGCAAGAAATCCTATAACCAGTATGTTGACTTCATTGAGAACAGTTGAAAGCTGTCCTGGGAGGCAGAGTACAGTGGTAGCAAGTGTGGGGATTTAACAGTTCAAGTCATTGTTAGGGAACTGAAAACTTAAAGAGTCCCTGGAATGATGGGAGTAGCTAGGTGGGGGAAATATTCAGATGCTCTGTGAAAACCAGCATTGCTGTTGAAGTTTGTGTTCATACTTCAAAATGCTAGAAAGAAAAAACATTAATTTTCAGACAAAACTTAGAAGGATTTTTAAATCTGAGCTATATTGTATCACAAAGTACAAATCACAAGCAAGGAAAGTTTTAGAGAAATCTCCTTCATGAAAATGAATGATATAGATTATTGATTCTGGGCTGCCTAAAACCCATTATCAAAGTATTTTTTAATACTGTTTTCACTCTCCTACAGGAACAACTTTTAGTCAGTATTATCCACTTAGACGCAACATTTCTCCAAAAATTAATGGAGTCCATCTTAAACATATTTTCAGAAATACAGAAAAGTAATTTATCATAAGTTGGATGCCTACCAAGTAATGATAAGTTACTTTTATTTCTTTAATATAAATTCATATTATTTTAATTGATATATGCCTAAGCGTGACCACATCAGCAGATATTAAAATGTAGCATCTTCTTCTATGCAGTCTGTCACTTTTCTTGCAGATATAACAAGTATAAAAACACAATACTTAAAGTAATGAAGCACGTGGCACTGTTAGCTTAATCGGTATCTCTGGCATTGCATTTGAGGACTTGGAAAGTTCCAAATATAGCATAGTGCAGTTTAAATGGTGGAGTTCTCCTGGAAATTGCAAAGTATATTAATAAAGTACCTCCAAAAGTACTTAGTGCTTTTTATTTGAGGACAGAGATAGATTTTAGGCTCAGACATTATAAAGAAGAGACTGTCACCCATGTGAATCTGATAAGCTTTTGGTGACAGTGTCTTCATTATGTAAGACCTGCCCTCCATAATCAGGCATCTCACAGCTTCTGCCCCAACACTAAAGCACAGTAGTGCTCATCAGTCACCTGACACAAAGAACATCTTTATCAGTTTATAGAACTTTCCCCCAGGATGGAGTTAGAAATAAATATTTGCAGCCAGGTATGGTGGCTTACTCCTGGGCATTCAGTTACTCTGTGTAACCTGCCACAAGTTCCCATATAAGACAAGTCCCCTTTGCTATGCAGGAACTTTTTAATTTCAAGTAATGCCATTTGTTAATTCTTGGGGTTATTTTTTGTGCTATTGAAGTCCTTTTCAGAAAGTCCTTATCTATACCTTTATCTTGGGAGTCTTTTCTTAAAATTGTTTCAGAGTTTCGGGTCTTAAAATCTTTGATCCATTTTGAATCGATTTTTGTGTGTGGTGAACGATGGGGATCTACTTTTATTATTCTGCATGTGGGAATCTAATTTTCCCAGCACCATTTGCTACAGATTTTTCCCCTCAATGTATGTTTTTTATACTTGTCAAAAATTATCTGAACTGTAGCTGTGCGGGTTTATTTCTGAGTCCTGTTGGGTTCCATTGGTCTGCATGTCTGCTTTTTGGCAGAACCACGCTCTTTGTTACTGTGGCTCTGTAATACAACTTGAAGCCATTGACTGACACCTCCAGCATTGCTGCTTCTTTTAAGGATTGTATTTGCTAATTGGGATCTTTGGTGCTTCCATATGAATTCTAGGATTGGTCTAATTCTGTGAAGAATATCATTGAAATTTTGATAGGGATTGCATTGAATCTGTTAGTTGCTTTTGGTAATAGAGCCATTTTGTAATATGAATTCTGTCAAATTATAAACATGGGAGAACTTTGAATCCTCTAATATCATCTTCAGTTCCTTTCTTCAATGTCTCAAAGTTTTGCTGTCTTTCACCTACTTGGTTAACTTTGTTCCTAAGTAGGTGTGTCTGTGTGTGTTTAAGCGATGGTGAATGGAATATTTTTTTCTCTGCTTCTTTCTTGAAGTTCATTATTGGTAGGTTTTTCTATGTTGGTTTTATATCCTACTACTTTGTTAAAAGTGACATCAAGTATGTGCATTTTCTGGTTTAGGCTGTAGAGACTTTTAAGTATAATATCAGGTCATCTGCAAATAGGAATAATTTTTTCTTTTTTTTTTAAATACACATATTTATTGTCACATGCATTAGCTCCTTAAAATTACGTGTTGAAAGGTGTAATTGAAAGAGAAACAAATGGATATTTCCATTTTCAAATAAAATTACCTACAAATTAGTATTTTACACTTTGACCTCAAATGGATATCACTCATAAAATATACTTTCATGAATCTTAAATTAAAGCAGCATAGTAATTAATGTAGCAATGAACACTTTTCTTGCTTTTTTTCTTAGTCTCACTATATTGAATGAATCATGTATTTCTTCTTTGTTCTGTAAAGTTAGTCAATGCAATTGATTTTTTTTCTGGTTTTTTTTTTTTTTTTTTTTTTTTGAGAGGGTCTCACATAGACTAGACTAATCTTAAACTCCTATCTCTATCTCCTGCCTGTTTCCTGAGTACTAGGATTACAGTGCCACCATGTCCAGTTTGCAATGAATGTTTTTTTTTTTTTCTTTTTTTGAGACAGGGTCTCCCTGTAGCCCCAGCTATCCTGGAACTCACGAGGTAGACCAGGCTAGCCTTGAACTCACAGAGATCTGCCTTCCTCTGCCTCCCAAGTGCTGGGATTAAAGGTGTGCACCACCATTCCCTGCCTGCAATTGATTTTTCATTTTACATTAAAAGAACTTCAATTTTATGTGTTATAGGGTTTATACTGTGTACAATAATGTATAACTGTATTAATTCAACACTGTGAACCTAAAAATTACAGGCAATTTTGAAAGAGATGCATCTTTGCTCTAGAAATTGTTACTGAATATGTCAATGCTGTTATAATGAAATGCTTTCTAGTACTTCTTAATTTAACACTTTATTTACTTATATATTTATTTGAGACAGGGTCTCATGTAGCCCAGGCTGGTCTCAAATTCACTATGTAGCCCACGATAACCTTAAACAAATATTTTTTTAATTTTTATTTTATGTGTATGAGTGTATTGCCTGCATGTGTGTAAGTGCACCCATGTCCTGCAATGCCTGTGGAGATCAGAAGAGGGCATGAAATCCCCTAGAACTGGAGTTACCGATGGTTGTTAGCTGCCATGTGGGTGTTGGGAATTGAACCCGTGTCCTCTGCAAGAGTAGTCAGTGCTTTTTTTTTCGTTGTTCGTTCATTTGTATTTTTGAGACAGAGTCTCCCTGTAGCCCCAGCTGGCCTGGAACTAGATATGTAAACTAGGCTGGCCTTGAACTCACAGAGTTCCACCTGCCTCTGCCTACAGAATGCTGGGATTAAAGGCATGGGCCACTATGCCTGGCTATAGTAGGTGCTCTTAACTGCCCCAGCCCCGACCTTGAACTTTTGATCCTCCTGCTTCCACCTCCTGAGTGCTGGTGGTGTTTACCACCAAGTCCGAATAATTCAATGTTAGGACCCAAACTAGGGCATTCTGCAAGCCAGACAAACACACTGAGTAGGTCCCCAGTCTTTAAAAAAGTTGTTCTCTTGGGTCAGTGAGATGGCTTAGCAACAAGTAAAGGTGCTGGCCACCAAGCCTGCTGACCTGAGCATAATCCCTGGGCCCCATGTGGTAGAAGGAGAGAACTGACTCTTAAAAATTATCCTCAGACCTCCACACCCACACAGACCTCCTCCCACCTCCACCCTAAAGGCCATACATGTACAGTAAACAAATAAATATAATATTAAAAGAAGTTTTCTTTTTAATCCATATAAGAATAACATGTCCTTATGAAACCTATCCCTATGTACCATGAATATATGCCAATAAAAACAACGTGCAGGAAAAGATGAGAGACCATTGTTATACAGACAATAAGTGTGCTTTAACCACAACCAAGCTTTAGTTTATGTTACTTCTTGACAAAGAAGATCCAAGGAGACAGTCCTGTGAGCTAAAAAGCCATCCAAGGGACTCTGAAACGATTCAGTTTTGCATGGTAACTTCTGAGCAGTCCCACTGTGCCATACTGGAGTGGTTTTGCTATACTGCGGTAGTTGTGTATCTTGCCTTCATGCCTCTTGTTCTGGCTCAATCAATGAAGTCAGCTAGAGAGTTCTCAGGAGAAGGGCACCCGGGTGTGAAGATGTAAACATCTCCTAGGAGAGCATCTTATCTGGTATAGTTTTCTTCTTAGGCTCAATTTAACTGGTTGCTGTCCACTGATAAATAGAATACACATCATAAAAATGAAAAATACCACCAGACCTGGTGGCTCAGGCCTGTTGTCCCAGCACTTGGGAGGCAGAGGCAGGTGAATCTCTGTGAGTTCAAGTCCAGCCTGGTCTCCATAGTGAGTTCCAGGCCAGATGGGGCTACAGGGAGACCCTGTCTCAAAAAGACCAAAAAAAGAAAAGAAAAAAAAATACCCAAAAAAGTTGTTGAAATCTCATTTCTTTCTCTTTTTTTTTCTCCTGCCACACACAAGTGGAGCAATAGCTTTCCAAAATAAGCAATCTGTAAGGCGTCTGGGCAGTATCTGTGTGACTCTCGTCACATGCTAGGACAGACCTCCAGTTTTTTCATTTTTATTTCTAGCAGTGAAGGGTGAACATCCTTGTCTCATTCTGGATTTTACATGAAATAATCCCCAGAGTAAAGAGACAATATATAGAATGGGGAAAATTCTTGCCTTCTATACATCAGATAGGAAGTCCATATCTAGAATATGCAGAGAACTTCAAAAACTAAGCACCCCAAAAATCATCCAAACAAAAAATGGGCTAATGAACTAAATAGAAAAATGTAAAGTTCTCAAAAGGATAAATGTATATGGCCAGGGAATACTTGGAAAGATTCTCAGTATTCTTAGCCATCAGGCAAGTAAATATTAAAACTGGTTTTAGATTTCATCTTACCATCATTAAAATGGTTTTTATAGAGAAAACAAAGGACAGAGCCAGCAAGATGTCTCAGTAGGTAAAGGTACTTGCTGATAAGCCTGATGACCTGAATTTGATCCCAAGGACCCACATGGGTGGAAGGAGAGAACTGGCTCCCTCAAATTGTCTCTGATCTCTACATATACATCACACACACACACACACACACACACACACACACACACAAATATAAATAGATGTAAAAATGACAATAAATGCTGGCAAGAATGTGAGGAAAGAAGCCTTACTCACTGCAGGTGGGAATGTAAACCTGTGCAGCCACTGTAGAAATCAGCATGGAGGCTTCTCCAAAGATATCCTGAAGGACTCTAAGTCAGCATACCACAGAGATATGTACACATCTATGTTTATCGCTACATTATTCACGGTAGCTCAGAAATCAGGCCAGTAGTTTATCAACAGGTGAATGGATAAAGAAAATACACATGTGGAATTCCTTATAGCTGTAAAGAAAAATGAAATGACATTTGCAGAAAAATGGAGGGAACTGAAAATCAGGTTAAGCAAAGCAAGTGAGACTCAGAAAATACCACATGCAGCATCTAGATTTAAAGTATATATATGAGAGTATACATAAATTATGTGGAAAGGGGGTCATGAGAAAGGAAGAAGAGATGATAGCGGAGGGGCAGAAGAGAGTAATGGAGTGCATGTGGCGTAAGTAGAAGGGACCACCTGCAGGAAAGAAAAGGCTGTGAGGATCATAGTAGGGAGAGAACCAATGAGGGTAAAGTATAATGATGCCTATGTACCAAAATGCCATAATGAAGTCTGTTACTTTGTGTATTAACCTAAAATTTTTGGCCGTGCAGCACATAACCCATCCACCCGTGCTCACCTGACACTCAAAAATACCCGTCAGTTTATAAAGCTTCCCACAGGGGCTGTTAGAAATAACTGTTTGTAGCCAGGTGTGGTTGTTCATACCCATAATCCCAACAATTGAGAGGCTAAAACAGGATGATTGTTGTGAGTTTGAGGCCAGCCTGATCCATCTTGTGAGCTCCTGGCCAGCCAGAACTATAGTGTGAGGCTGGTTCAAAGAAACAAAAATATTTGCATTAGTTCTTAAGCCTTTTATGAATTTTCTGGTACTGATTATAATTCACGTATCAATTGCAGTTTATAGTTGACATTCTAAATGTACTTCAAGGTCATGTGGCAACCAAACCATTGCTGTGTTGAGGCTCAGTAAAAAAAAAGTGTGAGGTAACATGAAGAAAGAACAATCTATATGGTCTATAAAGTCATCATAGGAATTTTTACAAGTTGAATAAAATGTAGCTCATGATTTGATTATAGTAATCTCAACAGGCCAGTATGATTTTTGACAATCCTAACTAAAACCTTCTTCCCTTTTTCTAAGAGAAATTCCCCCAGAGCTTCAGCGACTGGTCCATGGTGGCCAAGTGAATCTGGACATGGAGGATCATCAAGACCAAGAGTACATAAAACCCAGATTGCGGTTCAAGGCTTTTAGTGGAGAAGGGCAAAAACTGGGAAGGTAAAATTCCTACCGTGATTAAAACGCTTCTTTGCTCAACATGAATTTTCTTAGCAAATAAGAAAATAAAAATGACGTGAAGTAAAGAGTGAAATACGGAAATATGAACTGAGGACCTTTTTGGTGGAATTAAGTGTACAAATCAGATAATAATGTTTGTAGCTAGTACCAAATAGGAATTTCCCATTCCTATTCCTCTAGCCACCTTGCGTGCATTAGCTTATTTAATAACAGCTTTTTAAGCACACACTACCCTTGCAGAGGACTCTCGTTTGGGTCTCAGCACCTGAGTAGCTCACAGCTGCCTTTAACTCCAACTCCAAGTGGATCTAATGTCTTTTGAATGCATATGCATGTGTACACACACACACACGCATAAAAATGAATTTTAAAATATATAGCAGTGCAGAACCTGTTACTCCATTTTGAAGTAACTGTAACTTGACAAAGTGATTGAGCTCAGGAATGATTAGCACATGAGGTTCCAATCCAGGTGCTCCGGGGTTTGCGCTTTTCCCCACTAAGCCATGTTCTCTAGTTCCTTTTTTCAATTACACAGGGTTGCACAAGGCCATTTTCATGCAAATATATAGCGTATCATACTTTGAACTATTCCTCCTCATACCCTTGTCCCCTTCCCCCCATCTAGTCCCCTTTGTTCTCCAGTTTCTATTCTACTCTTTTTTTTTCTTCACTTCTTTCAGTTATGCGATTTTAAAAGAGAAACTGTGAAGGGTTTTTGAGTGGATGAAGTAATGGGTGTATTACATCACCACTTTAAGCATTGTGCCTGCCATGAGTAAACACTAAGATCTTGTAGCGGGAACAGTGTGCTTCAGTTGGTGGTTTTCAGTGATTTGTAAGCAGGCCTTGGATTCAGTCTCCCACACCATATAAATCTGGCATGATGACACACAGTCATTATCCCAGCACTAGGGAGATGGAGGCAGGAGGAGCAGAGTTTCAAGATTACCCTCAGCTGTATGCCAAGTTTAAGGCTAGTCTCGGCTTCCAGAGACTGACCCTGTCTCAAAATGGAAAAAGAACTTTTTTTCTAATATACAGAAAATTTACACTAGAGCAGTAGTATGGTATGAATCTGTATACACATAAATTCATGTTTCATTGAATATTATGTATTTAAGAAAAGTGAACTGCACACATTTTACATTAAAGATTTATATTAAGAAGTATATTAAGGTGATGGGACTATAACTCAGTGGTGAAGCATATAAGGCCCTGTGCCTGATCTCAGGTGCCAAAAAATTTTTTAATTAAAATATTATTTTTTTAAATATTTTATTATTTTTATTTTATGCATGTGAGTATATTGCTTGCATGTCTGTAAGTGCACCTGTGTTGTGCAACGCCTGTGGATTCTCCCAAACTGTAGTTACAGATGGTTGTTAGCTGCCATGTTAGTGCTGGGAACTGAACCCAGGTCCTCTGCAAAAGCAGCCAGTGCTCTTACCTGCTGAACCATCTCTCCAGCCCCACAAAATTAAAATATTATTATAGAAGCTTAACAGTTCTCATTTTCCAGGGGTTTTAAATGATAACTACTTAACCAAGAAACAATAAAATATTCGCTTTTTGTCTATTGATGGCAGTTACAACGAGCATCACAGAACTGGAAGCTAGTCATGTTAGCCAGTTAACCTCACTCAGTAGAAGCAAGCAATCCATCGGTAGACAGCTACCCATTTACATCATAGAACAAGCTGTGTTGCTTAGCAAAAATTAGCTTGGTGAACTCCTGAGCTCTAGCTCAAGTAAAAAACCTAGAAAATCATTTTTTGACAGAACTTAAATAGGCATTCGCCATAGATTTTTGAACTGGCACACGAGAAATGACATGATTTGAACAAATCTCCTTGTGCCTAAGAGCAGTCTCTGTCTGTTTTCATACAGTTCAGACCAGAAGATTCTGCTTACAATGCACTCATCCAGCATTGCTTCTGAGGGTCAGTCTCAACTTGGCCCCTGGACCCTTGGGGATGCTCTTGTCTAATGAGGACAGCCCCTTCCTGCCTACATTATTTTTTCCATTAATTGTGCTGCTTGGACAGTCCCTCGCCCGACATTGGATCTTCTTACAGAGTCAGCTCTATGGAACATGCAGTGCCAAGCCTCCCCACTTCCACAGACTGAACTCGGGTGCTCCCTACCTCCCTAAGGCCCTCATTCTACACCTGCACCTCATTCTTATAAGCATCTTTCTTTGCTTTGGCTTCGCTGAATTTCTTCAGAGCCTGACAGGTTTTCTTCCATATAGCCCTCAGTTCCATGTATATTAGAGTCTGTTCACCCATCCTTACTTCTTCAAGTTCAAAGGAAAAGGTATCTGAGGGAATTGTAGCCCATTGTTTCCCTCTTGCTTTCTGTTGTATGTATTAATTTCCCTCTTAAGAATTCTTTTTAACTGAACCTTGTACTAAAAGCAGCATGTAAAAATACCACTGTAGAGGACTACAGAGATGATGGCTCAGTGATTAAGAACACTTACTGCTCTTGCAGAGAACCTAGGTTCAGTTCCTAGCACCCACATGGCAGCTAACAACATTATTAACCTCTGTTCTAGGGAATCCAATGCCCTCTTCTGGCCTCCATGAGCAGAAGGTATGCACATGGTGCACATATGTACATGCAGAAAATAAAAATATAAGGGGGAAGTTTGCTGGTCATTGCTGTGCACACCTATAATCCTAGTATTCATGAGGCTGAAACAGGAGGACCATGACTTTGACACCAGCCTAAGCTAAATAGTTAGACACTGCCTCAAAGAAGAAAAATAAGGGGCTGGAGACATGGCTCTGTAGTTAAGAGCACTGGATGCTTTTGTGGAGGACTTGGGTTAGGTTCCCAACACCCACATAGCATATAACAGCTGTCCTTAACTCCAGTTTCAGAGGATCCACGGGCATTGCACAACATGGTTGCACTTATTTACGTATAGGCATTACACTCATACACATAAAATAATTTTTTTAAAAGAAAAATAGATAAATTAGAGAAAACAGAAGCCTTAAACAGCAAAGAAATATGGCTTTTAAACTAAATGTTAAATTTACTGTTGGTTTAAAAATGGTTTATCTAAACCACAGTGCCACCTCACTGCTGCATAATTCTGGCATGGAGTAGGGTTTCTGTCTTACACTTAGATCTTTTCCAGTAAAATGGTGTGGCTGCCATACTTTATTGCTGTTTTACATTTGTGCTTTTTTTTTTTTTTTTGACAGGGTCTCCCTAGTCACAGCCCACCTGGAAGTCACAGTGTGGACCAGGGTGGCCTGCCTCTGCCTCCCAAGGACTGGGATTAAAGGTTCACGCCTCCACGCCCAGCGTACATTTGTGCTTTTTAAAAGAACTGCATTAAGGAGCTTTTCTCGCCTAGGTTTCCTTTGTACTTCATGCTTTATTTTTGTTTCAGAAAAATCTCACCTGGTCAGAAATTTATCTTAAAGAGAAAACATTAGACAGTGGAAACAGCATTATGAGGCATCTTTATGTCATAGAAAAGAACCAAAATTAAGTCTAGCTTTCTCGTTTCTCAGTAGGGCCCACCTTTAGACAGCACCAACTACATAAAACCTAATTTTGAAGTGCCCTTGTGCCTGGTGAAGTTACTCTTTACAACAAAGCTATTTCTTTCACCAACAGGAAAACTGAGGCACAGCGAGGATAACTGACTGGCCAAGGTCATGGGACAGTTGAGTGCAATGTGAGCATGGTGGCCGTGTTGACGTGTGCGCTTGGTGGTTGGTGTGGAGAGCTCCTGCGTCTCATGCCTTTCTCATGAGTTTTCCTCCCTTTCCGTGTGTAACGGATCCTTGCGCTGTCAGCACAGTAATTGAGTTTGACAGTGCAACTATTTAAGCCTTTGATTCTAAGCTTGAAGAAAAAAATTCCATAGCATCTAGTAGTTTATTGTGACTCACTTTCTCCTTTATTATGTATATATATATTGGTCTTTTTGAGATAGGGCCTCCCTGTAGCCCCAGCTGTCCTGGAACTCACTATGTAGACCAGGCTGGCCTTGAACTCACAGAGATCTGCCTGCCTCTGCCTCCCAAGTGCTGGGATTAAAAGCATGCGCCACCACGCCCGGCTTCCTTTTTTATATTTTTATCGCATGGATTCTCAAAATTGTTTGAAATCTGTATCAGGAAATAGGTAAAAAAGGAGCAAGTGTTAGCAGTAATCATCAGTTAATTTTACTATCTTAACCTTAAAGTTGGGGAGAAGCTTTTGGGGTAGGAATGAGAGTTCTTGCCATAAAGCCCGTGCTCCCAGACGATGCTTTATACTGAGAAAGTGGCAAGCAGGGGCCATCCAAATCTTAGCATTTGAGAGAATAAGCAAGAAGGATGTCAGAAGATCCCTTAAGATGCTGGGGGGTTGTAAGCTTTTACGTCTTTGAAGGATTTGGATAAATTTGTTTTAGTCTTAAAAGAGTGCTATTTATATAATGTAGCTTATATGTGTTCATCCTACTGGCATTAGAAGAGATCAAGAAATAATGAGGTTATCAGTAATAAAGGTGTTCATTATGAATTTATTACCGTGAATAAAATTTCATTTCTCGCTAATATTTGGGGCTCTTTCTTTTTTGCAGAACAGTAACTGCTTAAGTCATGTATTTTTAAATGGTATTAATAATGATTAAAATACAGCTTAATGCTGATTATATGTTCAGAAGTACCTTTTGGAATACTATGTTCTAGGCATTTTATTCCTCCCACTTTGGATAGAACAGGACTTCAGAAAGGTTGATTTTCTTCTTCAACCACACCCAGTTAACATAGTTGGGATTTGACATTAAGTCAGACTTTTCCTGATTTCTAACTGAACTTTTACACATGCTGAATTTGCAAGGAGATAAAGCTGGAAAAAATGCAGTTAGACTTTTGAGAGATCTGGGATAAATAAGCAAGAATCATAGGCTCCAAACTAGTTTAATAAGAGAGACTAAAGAAGTTAGAGGAAGCTCAAAGGAGGCCACACTCTTACTTGTTCAGAGTCCACAAGGGATCCCTGCAGATGCGTTGCAGACCCAAGTCTCACTATCTTCTGTGTGTCATATGTCTTATGTATTCACATCTGTGTTCTAGTTCTTAAATTCTTCTTTCTTAGCCTTACACCAGAAATTGTCAGTACACCTTCCTCCCCAGAAGAAGAGGATAAATCAATACTTAATGCAGTTGTTCTTATTGATGATTCCATGCCCATTACAAAAATTCAGATCAGATTAGCAGATGGGAGCCGTTTGATACAAAGATTCAACAGTACACACAGGTAAGCTTTACCAGCCAAGCTTAGTTTTCATGTACTGCTACTTAACCACATAAAACTGTACAATCCCAGCGCTCAGGAGGCAGAGGCAGGCAGATCTCTGTGAGTTCAAGGCCAGCCTGGTCCACATAGTGCGTTCCAGGACAGCTGGGGCTACATGGAGACCCTGTCTCAAAAAGACAAAAAAAAAAAAAACTTTTGAGAAAATACGTAGAAGGATAGTAGCTACACATGATAAATGAAATAGATGGTGATCTCTGTAAATCACCCAAATACTAACCCAAGTTCAGACTACTCAAAAATAAGAGCTGTAGCTTTGCATTGTTGGAACGCCATGGCATGTGGAATGAAATTTAACCTAAGATCGTGAAGTCCTTACTTGGACATTTGGGAGCTTGAAACTAGAGGATCACAAGTATGAGATCAAGAAATTCTAATCAGAACTTTCTACATAGCAAATGCTTCATAATGTAAACATATAACATAAATTTCGCATTAATGCAGTACCTCTAAATAGTCTGTTTCAGATGTCCCATTAGTAGTCATTTGAATGTCAGTGTTTATTGTGTACATAAGAGCTTTGTTTATCATTGATATAAGATGCTAATGTATGCACTTATGATCTTGGTTAAATTACCTTGTACATGTGAAGGTAATTAAAAAATTTTTTTTGATTATTGTTTTTAACAATAGGATCTAACTGTGTGGCTCTGTCCCTTAGACTGGTCTCAAACTCAGTGATCTTCTTGAGTTAGCCTCCCAGGTGGTGGAATTACAGGCTCGTCTCGCCACACCTAGCTTTCACATTTATGTGTGTGTGTGTCTGTACACAAACGTGTATTTGTGTGTGCATATAATTATTTCTGTGTGTATGCATATAATCATTTTAATAGTTTTTGACTCATCTTGTCAAGCCAAGTGACTTAGAGGCATAGGTTACTTGCCTATGAAAACAGTAAGAATTAGTCAGTGTTTATTGTGTACATAAGAGCTTTGTTTATCATTGATATAAGATGCTAATGTATGCACTTATGATCTTGGTTAAATTACCTTGTACATGTGAAGGTAATTAAAAAAATTTTTTTTGATTATTGTTTTTAACAATAGGATCTAACTGTGTGGCTCTGTACCTTAGACTGGTCTCAAACTCAGTGATCTTCTTGAGTTAGCCTCCCAGGTGGTGGAATTACAGGCTCGTCTCGCCACACCTAGCTTTCACATTTATGTGTGTGTGTGTCTGTACACAAACGTGTATTTGTGTGTGCATATAATTATTTCTGTGTGTATGCATATAATCATTTTAATAGTTTTTGACTCATCTTGTCAAGCCAAGTGACTTAGAGGCATAGGTTACTTGCCTATGAAAACAGTAAGAATTATATAGCTCTTAATATAACGATATAGTTAATGCTTTGTTTTTATGCCTAATTTACTTGAAGATTGTTTCTATTTTGTAGTAAATATATACTCTAACATCATCTTGCTTTAACTTAAGAAGATGAACTTTCCCATAAAAATGGTATAAATTAAAGAAAATTAAAACACCTTTAAACAAAAAATGGAATTATATAATTTTTATTGTAGTGATGATTTCAGCTGAAAGTTTGTATGGAAATATGCCCTTTCTATAACATTATTTTTATCTTATTCCTTCAGGATCCGGGATGTTCGAGACTTTATTATACAGTCACGTCCTGAATTTGCAACAATTGACTTTATTCTTGTGACTTCATTTCCAAATAAAGAGCTAACAGATGAAAGTCTGACACTACAAGAAGCAGATATTCTTAATACTGTGATCCTCCAACAGCTAAAGTAACACTGTTCCAGGCCATCAGTAGCATAATGCACCATATTAATAAGTAGACTACTTCTGCCAGAAAGACAACCAAATCGTTTTTGTTATTCAGATAAGTTTTGATTTTATTTCATTTTCCAGCCTAAAGTAAAGATAAGTCTTGATGTTTGAATTTTTAGTGGCAGGCCTGGCTTGTGTTGATAGCTTGTAAACTCTAACTCTACTGGCTTGTTAAATACTCAGTGTTAAAGTAACAACATTTTTATGCAGACAAAGTGAGTGGAACCTCTTTTGGTAAATACATTTGGTAAAATTTGCACTAGAGTTTCTTAATACAACAATGACCTTTTGATCAAATAAGTTGAATTTTTTTCTATAACATATACTGACTGTGAGTTTAAAATTGTTTCATCATACAATACTTAAGGTTTTGCATATTCTTTATCTATTGATTGAACTATGTTAGTGTCATGAAGTGTACTTTGGCCTTGCATTTCATGGGATTAGAACTGTCATAAACTAAATTTTAAAAAGTTATAAAAATCAAAAGCTCTTTAAAATCAAGAAATTAATAGGTCTTTTTCCAGAGCCTTCCTTGATCACATTCATTCATTCATTGAACAGATTTTTCTAGGGAGTCTTATACATACTAAACACTGTTGTGAGTGTACAATGTAGATTGTATTCTCTAGCGTATAAACTCAGTCAGATAGACTAGATTAAAGAATAACCAGCTAGCCCAGGTATTTCTTGAATTGCATGGACTATATCAGAAATAACAGGAAAGCTTTTCTTTTTCCCAGATAGCAGTTTATCTTTGATCACCATTCTGGATATTTTCTGTTCCTGCCATAGAAATTACAGAATTGTGGCCTGAAATAACACAGATTTGTTATCTTAAAGTTCTGTAGGTTGAAAGATGAACATGAATTACTCTGTCCTAAAATCAAGGTATGGGGCTGCATTCCTGTGGAAACTCTAGAAAATCATTTCTTTGCTCTTGAGCTTCCAGAGGCTACCTGCACAACCTTCACTTACAGTGCTCTCCTTCATCTGACAGCCAGCACCACACATCTCTCTGACTTTTCTATGATCACATGTTCCTGACAACAACAGGAAAATATTCTCTGCTTTTAAGGACTTGTAGGATTCAGAAGAATGCACAAGATAATCTCTGGTAATCACCTCACCTTAAACTTTATCATAACCTTAATCACATGTTCAAAGTTGTCCTTTTCTATTTTAAATTACATTTTCACAGGGTTGGGGGATTAATATACCTGATTATTGCTGTCTACCGTATCTCAAAAGATTCACTTCCATCCCAGATAAACCCACCCCATGTGAAGGTGCTCAGAAATCTTAACCCATTATAGTGACGCTAAATCCAAACTTTTAATCTAAACTTCATTGCTTCAGAGGTCGCAGATCTCATTAAAATTGTCTAAATGAAGTAGAACATTCCTTTCTACTTGTGACACTAGAAATCAAATTATCACAAATAAATGGCAGGACAACTGTGGAATAAGTTATATGACACTGATGTGTAAAAAGCAGGAAAATGAAATGGAAAGTGGAGCTCCTGGCACCAAGCAGTATCCCACACCAGCCAGACCCCCATTCAATTTTAAGGTCCAAGACTAATCTGTGGCAAGTGGTTTAGTCATCACAGCTTGTGGCTCTGTCTTCAGTCATCTGTCCTTGCACAGTCATACAGCTTGTCTCTTCCTTCTCATGTACTCGAAACCTTTCATTCTACAGTAGCAGAGGTTCTGTCAAGAAAAGGATTTCCTGTGTAACGTCAGGGAGATCCGCACCGTTAAAAGGAAGCCCTTTACACGTCATTCTACCACAGCCAATCCCATCTCTGGTTTTTACTTTTTCCGTGATAGCTAAGAACTGTGCCATGCCCTTTTTTTAAATGTGTGTGGTATGTGTGCTTCTGTGTATGTATGTTCGAATGTGTATGGGTGCACATGCACATGGATTGTGTGTGTTGGGGAGTAATCTGTGCTTTTGTGTATGTGTGTTCGAATGTATGGGTGTACATGCACATGGGTGTCGGGGGGTATGTGTGCTTTTGTGTATGTGTGTTCGAATGTATGGGTGCACATGCACATGGGTATGGGGTGGGTGCGTGTGGAGACTTGAGGTTGATGCTTGGAGTCTTCCTCTCTCTTCACTTACCTGTGGCCGTCTATGAGTTGAAGCGAGAGCTCTCCACTGCAAGTAGTCTGGTTAGCCAGCTTGCTACAGGAGCTCTTGTCTCCACCTTCTGAGTGCTGGAATTGCAGCAACCGCCATCCACACCCAGCATTTACATGGGTTCTGGGCATCCAAACTCAAATCCTCAAACTTGCATAGCAAGCACTGTAGCTACTGAGCCTTTTCCCCAGCCCCTGAAACATGTTTCTTTTCGTTTTGTACTATCAAAAGTTTACACCTCCACACCCTCAATCTCATTCTGTAGAGCAGTCTTTTCCCTAACAGTGTGTGTGGTTTTTTTGTTTGTTTGTTTGTTTGTTTGTTTGTTTAATGTATCTCTTAATTTTAATGTCTTTTGCCATTTGACTAGACTTGAGAATTGCTCTAAGTTCTGGGTGTTTTTTATTTTTTAATCTGTATGAGTATTGCCTGCAAGTATGTGAGTGCACCTGTCTCATGCAATGCCGCGGAGATCAGAAGAGGGCTTCAGATTCCCCTGGAACTGGAGTTAAGGACGGTTCGTAGCTGCTGTGTGGGTGCTGGGAATCGAACCCAGGTCCTCTGCAAGAGCAGTCAGTGCTCTTAACCACTGAGCCACCTCTCCAGCCCCCTGGTTTCTATCAATCTACAATCAGTAAGAGGAATACAAGTCATACTATACATTGTTTCCTTGGACATTTCAACTCAGTCTTTTAATAGAAACTATCATATACTAATTCTGCTTTGCACATAACTGTACAATTTAACTGATGATCTCTTCAGTTTTCCAATTACATTTTTTTTTCCTGAGCCCTCAGTGGCAGCACCTATTAATGTCACTATTTCTCCTAAAGTCTATTCATGACCATTTTGATATTCTCTGGTGATTTAGATATTTTCTTAAAATCTCCAGCATTAAACCCTGTTTCTGTGAAGAGTCTGAATAAAGGCTGTCTAGTCCTTTACTGTTATGTTCCTCAAACTTCTCCTGCCCTCCACCCCAGGCTTGTAGTCCAAAGCTGCATGAGGATTTTTCTCAGTCATATAGTCATAAAAAGATTCTAAGAGAATCTAAAGATTCAAAGATTAGAATCTTTAGATTCTAAGAGAATCTTTTTTTCCCTCACAATAAAAAGCCCCTCTCCTTTTTATTTATTAAGCACAACTCGGATAATGAGTTTAAGAAGTTTACCACAGTTTAAAAAGACTGCCAAAACCTGGTTTGGTAGCGTATACCTAAAATCCCAGCTCTGAGGAGACTGAGGAATGAGGATCTCTGTGAGCCGGAAGCCAGCCTGGGCTGTAATTTGAGACTGTTTCCTTTTTTTTTTTAGTTATCAGAGATTAACTACCTTTTAGATAGAGTAAAATCTGGGCTGGAGAGATAGATCATTTGGATAAAGCTGGAGTTCAGATGTCCAGAATTGATGTAAAATTCAGCAGGGCTGTTAGACAACTATCATCCCAGCAGAGATGGAGGTCTTCAGAGCAAGCTGGCTAGTCCAGGCTAAGTGAGAGACCTTGCCTCCGTAAAATGAAGTAGAGAGCAACTGAGGGAAACCACCCAATATCAATTTCAGGCCTCCAAATGCACACATATGATGCACACTCACATGCCCACACCCATACATGAACAAAAAAGAAATGGAACAAAATCACCTTCCTATAGAAATAAATATACATATATAGAAATTTAAATAAAAGGGCATTACCTCTTCAACAAAACAGGGAAAACATCAACCAATCCTTGTATAATTACTTGAATTTTTCTTGTAGTTCCTTTTTTATCAGATACCTTCAAATGTACATACAGAAATGACTGCCATTTTGTGTACGATAATAATCTTCCAAAATAAGAGAGACATATTAGCACAGAGAACTAGGTGTCCACAGAGGTGACCAGTACTTTCCAGACGTCACGGACGGTGTAGCTTCCTTGATTTTTTTACATTGTAGTCACTGTAACTTTTTATGTATTATATTCTCGAAAAAAGGTGATCACAGTGAGCAGTTAGACACGTGTGAGGACAGTCATTTTACATGATGTAGATAATCAAAAAGTTTGAATTATCTGCTCACTAATAAAGAAGGTTTTCATTAAAACTCATTGAAAATATTTTTCACATTGTCTTTGATGCATAGTTAAGTGGTTAAATAGGTTATTTTAAACGTGAGTCACTTTTCATATGGCTTTATTGCCCTTAAATCTTGTTTGCAAGCCGAGAAGGGCCTGAGCTATGGCAGTGTTACCTCAATTTCTCATTGTTGTTTCTGTTTTTACTCTACACAGACAAAAAGTTTCAGGTGCTTCTTAATTTCCCGCCACTGTGTATTTCTGAAAACTTTCTCATAAAGAATATTGTTAAAAGGTGCATTCAGTTTTTCCCATTAAGAGTTTGTATCCCTGATCAGTGATGAAAATTTATTTATATATATATATATATGTATTTATTTATCTCCAATATTGTCAAAGGCTACGGAATTTTTTATAATCTAGAAAATGCTTAGTATCTTCTAACTTCAATTAAATAGTTTATAAAAGAAGCCCTGATGTATATATAAAAAATGTGTATGTGTGTGTTTATATACCCATAATAATGCCATCTGTGGTTAGAACTAGTAACTAGCTGTAGTATACATGTAGCTTATCAGTTTTGCCTCTTTAAGAATTTATAGCCATGATGTGAGATGGTGGGGAAGATTGAATTTGATGACTTCTTTTCCCTTATATAAATACTTATGTAGGACAGAGAGATTCAGAATCATCTAGGCTGTAGCTACTTTAAAAGTTCCCTTGAAGCTGATTTCGGAGGACCTCAGTACTACAGTTCCAAGTGCAACTATCCAAATGAAAGACATCAGGGAAGCAAGCTAACCAGTCACCGTTGATTGTATCACGACAACTCTGTCTTTGATTGGAATGCCCAATAAACAGATAACTCATTAGGGTGGACTGAAAGACCTCACACTTAGCAAGCTAATACAGTACTTTTTCAATGGTCTAATTATTGAATTAAGTCATGTGTGCTAATTAGCAACATCGAAAAAAGGGCTAAGAGAGTAAGGTAAGAAGCCGATGGCTCTTCTAACTCAGAAACTTCTCTTTCCTGTTCTTCCTTTCCCTTCTGCAGTTTACCTAGGCTTGTAGTGTGTCAAATGGGTCAGTAGGGATACCTAAGATGACTTTCCTCACTTTAATCTACAGAATAAAACACTGAAAAGTACTAAATGTCCATTTTGTATCTCTGTATTGACTTTTTGGTTTGTGTCTTCCTTATCTACATAGTATATCTTTGGATGTATCTTTTAGAACAGACGTAATTACAAAAGGCTCTTCAGTGTGGTTTCTGTATTTGGCATCATTCCCTTGTCACTTTTTATTTTTACTTTTATAGGAAATGCTTATTTCCTCAAATGCTGACAAACTTTGTCATTTTACTTTTAGGATCAAGAATCATAACTCATTTTTAGTTTTCTATGACAATCTTTGTTAATTAAAAAGTAGCAAATGTAATACTACAGATATTCAGATGATAGTAGGCTTGGAAGTCCTATTGTGAGCACAGTTAAGACCAAATGGAAGTCCTGCTGTCGGTAGCCCGAATTGTGTGACGAGGAGGAAAGTAGGATGAAGTAGCATCTTAAAGAAATGTTCAGATTTTCTACAAATTAATATTAGCTTCAACATTCCATGGTGTGAAGTAGTCATTTTTATGCATATAATTATAATGTCTGTAAATACCATGTTTTATATGTATTTATAATATGCATAATTATACTGTCTAGTAATGCCCCTCTTTGAAGACCTATAAATACTTATAATAAATGTTAGTATTTGAAATATTGTGCACATCAGTACTCTACAGCAATTCAAACTAATCTGACTATATACTCTTTAATGTATGTCATTCATTTTCTATAAGGAGTACATATCTTAAAGATATGTAGGTTTATCATTTTTTGAGGGCTTACTAAGAAAAGGGTCCTCTGTTTACAGGCAGCATGTTATGGTTAATGTCACTCTGTTATATGGCTTGTCCTGACATAAGTTTAATAAATACAGTTTCCTCAGAGAAGCATTCTTCGATGCCTCAGTCTGTCACTGTCTCTCAGTCTCCTTATATCCTCTTGTTAATTTAACTTGTTCCCATTTGCTAACACTGTTCTCATTCCCAAAGTCTCAAAGTGAACTCCAGAGAGCAAGGATTTTGTCTTATCCATTCCTGTATCCCTGAAGACTAGAACAGTATCTTATACATAAGAGTCACTCTGAAGCCTGGTGTGGTGGAGCACGCCTTTAATCCCAGCACTCGAGAGACAGAGGCAGATGGATCTCCATGAGTTCAAGGCCAGCCTTGCCTACATAGTGAGTTCCAGGACAACTGGGGCTACCACTCTCAAAAATATCCAAGAAAGAAAAAAGAAAGAAAAAGAGTCAGTCTGACTCTGAATAGTTAAGCAATAAGTCAATGAATGACAAAATGGAACCTTCTGGACACTGAAAGAATATATGCATTAATGTTTTTAACTAAGAGAGCTAGAATATTACCAAGAGTTAGCAGAAAATGTCTGTGCTTTTTTTATTATTAGGTTTTGAAAGGAGAGAAAAAGATTCTAGAAATGTGTTTGATTCATTTTCAGGACTACTAGCATGTACAGCTATAATATGGTGTCTAGAAGTCTGCCATGGTAAATGTATAGAAAAGCCCAAGGAATGCCTTTATGAGGAACCAAGAGCATGAAACACCTGGGCTTTCTGAGGCCTGATCATATGTGCTATGATTCTGCAAGTGTGGAAGTAAAGAAGAGCCAGTGGAAAGCCTTCAACCTGCTTAGTGGCTTGTATTTGTTTGCTCAAAACAACTGAAGGTTTAGATGTCACTGTCATGTAGTCTGATTGCATACAAGTTTATATCTTTATTCAGACCAATGTGCTGAGTAATAACATCTGCTCCCTTTTTTAGTAATTTCATATAAATGCTAACATTTTAGGCATTGATGTTTTAGAATGTAGTATCTCATCATTTCTTACGTACTGATTACCCAAAAATGTAAAACAAGGGTTAAGGAAATTTAAGCATAGTAAATTGAGAGTATACTAAAATATATTTAATAACTTTTTAAAATTAAAAGGCTTCAGAAAATTAGATGATAGTAAAATCATGTGGCACTCAGACCTCTTAAGTAATCCAGTTTGAGAAGCTGTTGACTTTGGCTACTTTCTCACTTTGGCTATAGTTACAAAGAAACTTCTCACTTTCATTATATATTGTTCTTGTTTTCTAAATTAATGCCATTATGCAATCTTCCACGCAAGCAAAAGCAGCAGAAATGACCCGGAGTTAACAGATTTCCAAACAGCCTTTGTAAACAGATAAGGAGGTCTGCAAACATTCGTGAGTTCAGTGTTCTTGGAATTATTTTGAGAGAGAGACGGCATGGTAAAACCCTTAATTCTGAGAGTCCTTAAGAATACTATTTGGCATATTAAAGCACTGAGCTCGTACTTAATTTCCATGGGTTTCTTTTTATTTATAAAAAGCATATTTTATTAAAAACTGGCACTAAAGCTTTTAATTCTAAGGGAAAAGGTATTCTCTGTATGCAGTCCTTGAAATCAGAAATGAGTTTTAACACAGCTATGTCCATAGGCATCTTAGCCCTTTTTTGTTTTAATCCTTTTGTTTTGGGTATAATGAAAATAGCAATGAGCAGATCAGAGTCCAGATCGTGTCTGTCCTTACTGAGTACTTGCCATAAGATAAATGATTTGACCTCCTCAGGTGGCAAAGGACCACTGGATGATTGACAAACTATTTAATCTTTTACTTCTCCTAAATTAGTTTTTGAATCAAGAGAATCCATCTTCATCTAATGATGAAAATGATGAAATGTTTGTATTTCTAGTTGTTAAAATTGATGCCTTTTTTCAATTCATACATGTAATTAAGTCCCCTGATTTCACGTTTATGGCTGAGTCTCTAAAGCTAAGATTTTGCTTAGGTGATTACACTTAAGTACATGGGAAATTAGGTCTATTCATTCTTCCTGCTATGAACTGAGTATTCATGCCTAAAGATCTAGAAATCTTTTCCATGGATGTTGGGGTGGCTTTTTGGGTCTGGCGTATAAACTCTCACTCCCACTCATTCTTTCTCCTGCCTTCTTTAAGTACTTTGGGTTCTCTGTTCTTTTCTTTTTTTGCAGTACTGGGAATTGAACCCATGCCTGGTGCATGTACACTGAGCTACACCTCTCCATATTCTTCTAAGTATGACTCCCCAGGAACTTTCCTTGAAACAGCAAGTTCTCTATCCTAAAATGTGCAAGGAGCAGCGGTGTGGATCGGGCCGTGCCAGCAGAAAGAATGAGACAGTTAGTGCTCATGGTCCCCTCATTGACGGCTCGAAGAGCAAAGCTGTATGACAGGCACACCTTCTGTCAAGAGCATCCGCACAGAAAATTATGCTCACTTTGGAGCCAGTTCAGCTGCCAGATATGTGGTAATTGATTAAGTCTCTAGAGATTCTCTTTAAGTATATTCTGAATAGCTTAATTACAAAAGTCAATTTATGCTAAGAGCATTAAAGGGCTTCTAATTTTTAAGTGGAGATATATCTACAAATAACAAAAACTTTAAATTGCTTATGAGAGTAACTCCTGAAATACCACCATTATGACATTACTTGAGATTGTATAACTTTTTCTCCATATACTATTTCATACAGCCTTCATGAAAATCCTGAAAGCGGAGAAAATATCCTTAAGATTTTCAGGGGTGAAAAGCTAAGTGGCTCCCCGAAACACTCTAAGTAGAGATCAGTCAACGGTTGCATTATCCTTGATGTGCTTCATCTTCCAGTGCCCACAGTTTGGGGTAATAGGAGATGGAAAAGTTTTCTCCCATCTGAAGACTCACAGCTGACTCCTGGAGCAAAGGACAAGAAAGCTTACTTAGTGGAAGCTTTATATCACAGAGGAGCCTATTAAATACAAAGACCTAAACCCCCAAAGAAAATTAATTTCAGGTTTCACAGAGAACAGACAGAGTAATAGGATTAGGCAAACACGGCATGGTTGAGCAGTGTCAGATGGAGGAGGGAAACCCAGCAAGGCCTGCCCCTTCAGATGGCTCTCCCTGGATAAGCCAGAGCCCCTCTGGGACCAGATCTGGACGGCAGAAAGCAGAGACTTTACTGTTTTGTCGGAGGAGAAAGCTTCCAGTTTTATCACCCACCTTGAAGAAGAGGAATTTTAGTTCTGAGAACTCAGTTCTGGAAAAATATAGGAAAGTCAGAAACCAGGGATTGAGCTTGTGAGGATCTGCTTAGGCCTTCCAGGCTCCTTGAGGGTATTTTGCATATTTTGCATGCCAAACTGTCATGACCCTTTTTATTTTTTTTGGAGCCCCATTATCTTTTCTAAGATAGTATAGCCCAAACCAGCCATCCCTGAGTTCACTGTGTGACTCAGACTGGTCTTGAATTTGAAGTCCTCCTGCCTCTGCCTCTTGAGTGCTGGGATTACGGGTGTGCTACCATGCCTACCTAGTTTTTATTTCTTAATACTAGTCTACAGAGTGTCAGGCTTTCACATTGTAGAATATATTAGTGTTTGAGCCAATATGTCAATTGTTGGTTTCACTATAATTTGAGTCTGTTAAATCATGTATACTATTCTAAAGCATTTCAAATTTTTGTTGTATTTTTCCTGTCTTTGCTAGTTACTAGTCTTTGGTTTGCTTTTTGCAACTTAGCAACTTTCCTACATAAGAAAGATGGGGCTGAGGAGTTGGAGAGATGACTTAGTAACTATGGGCTGGGTTGGTAAAGTGCCTGCCATGCAAGCATGAAGACTTTAGTTCGAATCCCCAGAACCTATATAAAGCCAGGCATAATCTTCAGTGTCTGCAATCCCAGATTTCCTATGGCAAGATGGGGTCGGGTTTGTTCTAGTTTGCTTTCTGTTTTTGAAATGCTGACCAAAACCCACTTGGGACCAAAACCCACTTCGGGGAGAAAGAGTTATTTTAGCTTACAACTCCGAGGACACAGTTCATCACTGACCAGTCAGGGCAGGGAATTCAAGTCATGAACCTGGAGACAAACTGAAGCAGAGACCAGGGAGGAATGCTGCTCACTGACTTGCCATCCTGCTTGGTCAAATTTTACTTTTCTTGCAGTCACGCCTTCCTGCCCAAGGATGGCATGCCTGCAGTGGGCTGAACCCTCCTGTCAACTAACAGTTGAGAAAATGCCTCACAGACATGCCCACAGGCCAGTCTGGAGGAGGAAATTCTTTAATGAAGGTTTCCTCTTCCCAGGTGACCCTGTATCAGGCTGACAAAGCGTAACCAGTACAGGGGCCAAGACAGTGGAGTCCCCGAAGCTCACAGGCCAGCTAGCCCAGAGGACACAGCAGTAAACAACAAAAAGAGCCTGTCTCAAAAGGTAGAAGCCAAGTACTGACGGCACACCTTGGTGTATGCATGCCAGCACACATAAGCACATACCATATGTCACACACAATTCTTAAACTTTTTTTTCATTACATTTTACTCAGCTTTTTTACAAAATGACTTGATCTTTTTAGCAGCACAGGAGGTGAGACAGGAAGACGTGCATCCTCCCTGTCAGTTCCTGTATGTGAGGGAGTAGCCACATCAGGTAACAGAAAAGGAAGGGGTGCTCAGGGTTTTCCCAGCCTCATCTAGAAGGAAATACTTAGAGCCATGGGCCCTGGTAATCACAGCCCTTGTTAGGTTCTGCTGATAGTGAAGAAATCTGTAGTTACCTTTGACATACTGGCACCGTATGAGAATTTGGTTACTTATTTTCCCCACCAGGGGGTGTGTAGATACTAGGAAAAAATGTCAGCAGTATCATTCCCTTAGCTGCTGTAGTACAGAGAAAGGATCAAAGGTTTTTATTAACAACTAGGATTAGCCCAGTCACCAGTACCATTTAGCAATGTTTATGACCTCTTGTAGTACAGGTAAGGAATATATGGCCAGATATGATTAACATCTTGAGAACTGTGCTAATAATTTGTAAAATTATTGATGATGCAATATAGTAGGCCTTGGATTCTTTTCACTGTGATATTGCCCATTAAATATTACCCAGCTGCTCATATTTGAGTGACTTGTTCATTGATCATTCTCCCTGCAAATCATGTAACTTGATTTCACTATTTTTTTAACTTGTGCTCCATCTCTTCCTGTTTCTCACCTATGTTCTTTTTCTCAGGTTTCAGTTCTTGGTTCTCTTTTTTTTTTAGTGTGTATCTGAGTATTGCCTAC